CCGGATTAATGTCAGTAAAAATGATCGAAGCCGGGAGCTAAGAATCCCAAAACCGTCATCCCGGACTCGATACTGATGCGCCACCATTGCAGAGATCATTATTCGATTCTGGGCTGCGGAAGTTGAGCCGCGGCTGGTAAGAGCGGCACTTGGTCGCTTGACTTGGAAAATCACAAGCATGACGACCAAAATAAAGAAAAGGAGGCCAAGCCAAATCGGGGGGTATCTTTCGTAGGAGAATGAGGCTCATTCGTCCCCTAAAAAAGCCATGGATCTGCTAGGGCATTGACATGGGATGAAGAGGAGGAAAAAAGGCCACAAGGGGGTGTATCGAAGAAAATCCAGTGATGCGGGATAGCGGGTCACTGTTCGCTACAACCAGCTGAGAGGACCAGGGTGTGAGCGTGGGCATGAGCACGCAGAGTTGCACGTTTCGCAGCTTCAGACGCGAGAGCCTGGATACTGACACCAGATGTCGAGAGCCGGGAGCAGCAGGCTGCCGGTGGGCATGGATGGCGATCAGGCATTGCTGACAAACCTGCACAGGCGGAAATAAAATGGTCTGTTTACAAATGTCCAAGGCGTGAATCTGTATAGCATAGAGGTGTCCTAGATGGTGCGGAGACCCGACGGCTGCCTAGCCGACCAAATACGGGGAACAGCTTGTTTCCATCCAATACTGTAGATGCAGAGCAGCATCAACCCGGGACGCAGCTTGCCACCGCCGGAGTTTGATGCCTTTGGAAACATAGCCATTGTAATCCGCATCATTGTTTGCCTGTTTGGCTCATGTGGCGGTTGATGAGTCCGTCGACGCGGATTCGGAAGATGGCGCCATGGAATCCCTCCGCCAGCTGGAATCATCGAGTCATTTGGTGTCTTCGCAAGCTTCGGAGCCCGCGAGAGACGTCACGAACGACTCGATGATCTCGCCGTTCTGTTTCGTCGCCGTTCTTCGTTGGCGTGCCCGGCAACTCCGGGGCGGATACCGGATGCGGACATGGACGGGCGACCGGGGGGAAGCAAAAGCGGAACCTTTTCCAGCAAGCCACAGTGAGAGGCGCAGCGAATATGGGGCGTCAACAGCCGGATTGCTAGTCTACCGCTGATGCTCGCTAATGCTGCGCTCGTCAAAGGGACGATTGATTCATGAGAGGCGTGTGCAGCAAGTGTCGAGAATGAGCAATACGCAGAACACGATGGAAGAGTTGAGCACGTAGGCAGGTACTGTAGGCACGCAGGCACGCAGGCACATAGGCCCGTATCGTACTCCGTAGGGGGGTCGCCTGTCTCTGGTCGCACGACAGGGGAGTCGAAAACTGGCATCAAGATGACGACGCCGCGCCAGTTGATACAAGTCACGCGCGGACAGCTTCGGGAGCAGGGCTGGTCACTGATAGATACATATCGCAAGCGACGGGTGATAGTCCATGAGGTCATATGCACTACTACTGTGCTGTGCTGTGCTGTGCTGTGCTTGCAAGGTGAGGCCAAAGACAGATGGCCTTATCGTCCTTGTCACGGTGACCATTGCACACAGCTTGCTTGAGCCAGGTGATGAGCCAAGAGGGCGGTGAACACCCAGGTGAAGCTCCCGGCTCCCAGTGACATATCGAGCACCAGGCGTGAAGCAAGCATCAATACGGAGTACTGGAGGGGGAAGAGCCAGGCAAGGCCCCGTCGGTTTCGGCAGGTCGTCTTCTGCCCTGTGCTCCATGTGGGCGGCCCGGTCCTGGTTGATGTTTGCGCCAACACCAGTTTTGGCTGAGCTATTGCTTCACGAGAGATTCTCTGGGGTTCTTCGGCCGTTTAGATCATCAGCTCCCTCTCTTCCCCACCAATGAACGGCTGGAAGCGCGCCTGTCGCTTAAATGTCTGCTAATCCTCCCGTAGCATCGTCTGGTTTGATTGACCATTGGGACCTGCGGCGGGCTGACAGCTATCGGGTCCCAGCTCAACCGGACTGGCTGGTTCCACTCCATCTACCCTAATTCACTCCCGAGACATGTTTTAGAATGCCACAATCTTAGTGTGTACGAGTACTGTAGATGGTGACCGCTCGGAGGACTCAGGCAGCATGAGCTCATGACACGAGTACGCGGTGCCGATGTTGAGCGTATTTTCCTGTTTCTTCTGTTTCTTCTCCTTGCTTCTCCTCTTCATCTCAAAACCTTTTCTGTCCAGAAATAGAAACCATCTTCGCATCAGTTGCTCAAACACTCGTCAGGATGAGCCGCCCTCTCTCATAGTAAATGAAGCTAGTCTCAAACTCTATTTCTTCTTTCGTCGGCGTATTGTCCAGCAGATAGAGAACTATTTTTACCCTATATTGCCTACTAGTAAGTAGTACTAGACCGTGCCGATTTCCAGGGCGCTACCAAGCAGGCAGTGTCGAGGGTCTCGGAGGCAGCATCAGATGGAAAACCACGTAGGGAAAGGTGTGTTTCGAATAGAGAGGGTAGGCCCCAGCAAACTGGGACGGGTAGGAAAGATTAAGGTAGGAGCCAAAGTGGAAGAATAGACGGAAGGGAGGGTAGTGATACCAAGGCCTTGGGTTTAACCCAACAGGCGATCTAGTGTGGTTCCTATATTTGGCATCAATCTTACGGGGGTCCCTGGCAATCTTGCAAAGCCAAAGTCGTCATCCGTGCGACCGTTGCACGATCGCCCGTCAGCAGTGATACGATAGATCTCAAAAACTTGCTGTTCAGTGTTTGGGGATCGACTGTACCGGTTAATGTCCCTCGTTGTGTGCTGTGGGAGGGAGGCCCTTTGAGATGAAACGCAGCGCTTTGCTTCGTAAAGGGACTGTCCTCGGCACTCTTCCTACCAAACTTTGCCGTATTCGCAGGTGACCGAAACGGCGAATTGCTCATATGCCTCACGTGCAACGTATGAGTCTTGGGGTTACCGTATCATCGCCTCCCGCGGCCCCCAAACTGCATGTCTAAGACAAGGCAGCATAACCCGCGAGTGTGTGTGCTATTCTCAGCCAAAGAATCACCGTGTTGGAAGTAGTGGTGGTGGTGTCCACGAGCTAAGGTGCAGGTACTCCTCTTGCGTCCATGGGGTGGTGTAAGTACCTGGCCTGGGTGGTACGAGGGACCCTTGGGTGCTCGAGCTCTGGAGGTGTACAATCATTGGCGCAAAAAAAAAACGAGGCTTTTCTTGCCGACTTGTTGCAAGCAGCACTTACCGATTAGACTGGGCCGCGGCACAATGTACAAGGTAATTGAGACCAATTATTGGTAGGTGCGAAATCCGGCTGGTGGGCTTCCGGCCGCGGGAAACACGTGAGATTTTGGATGCCGGCTGCCTCCGCATGTTGTTCGGCGCAGACGCCTGGCCTCAGCCGACTTCTCGGTGCGGTCCTGTTGGCCGTATCACTGGGGAGACCACATCGTGGGAACAGCAAGTCGGGCCAGCTTGTGAGGCCGCCTCGTGGCCTATGGAGACATGTCGGGACGGGATGCACAGAGATGCGTTTGGTCCCAAGTTCAAGCGTTGGTGGTTGCCGGCTAAAATGTGCTCCAGTGTGCAGCAGCAGGACTCCGGAGTTGCTGTTGCTGCATACCCGGCTGCAATGCAATAGCTAAAATGTGCTCCGTACCTGTACTGCAATCGAGAGAACCAGTCACGTAACGGAATTTCGAGACGTGCAGCATCGGGTCTCCACGGCGCCCATTCCATTTCCAAACATGTCTGCTCCGTGATTCAATGGGCTACCCTGTTGTAAACTGCCATCGGCGGGTTTCCCCCCTTCTTTCTGGTGTCTCGCGGCATCCTGCATTTCATTGCCTAAATGGGCCGTAAGGCTGAGGCTGTTCTTGCACCTCGTCCCAATTAGGATGTATGCAACGCCCATCTCGGGAGAGAAGATGAAGAGAAGCTTCGCAGCAGTGGCACTGCATTCAATGTGGAACATGACATATGTCGACAGACAGCCACCGTTTGGCAGGCTGTTTGTCCAAGTCGGGAAGTGGATCAGCGTTGATTGACCCCCTCTAAGATTTAAGTGCATGACAATAGCGATGGCCCGATTCGCATCGTCAAAGCAGCAAGCGAGTTATACGACGGCGCTCCATATCAGTCCTTTTGCGGAGCAGAAATTCCGCTTCTAGGAGGTGAAGAGTCTGTGCAGCCTGAAGGGACACTGCCATCGGTATGGCGAGGCCATGAATGACGATGCTGACGGATCAATCAGAGTGATTTGAGAGCATCATAACCACATCACCCCGTGACGGCGGCTAACGAGGCATTACAGAAATACTCCCTCGTCACAGCCTGCGTGGAGCCGAGTGAGATGTGGGAAACAGGAACGTTGTAGAGAGTCCACGATGACCCTTGTGGCTCAGCACTTGAGAGAAAGGCAGGCTGCTTTGTGGCTCTGCGCTGCTTGTGATCCACATTTCGCTCGGCTCTTGTGGTTGGTCACGTCGTATGAGCATGGAGTACCCTGCACCGTTGCACTCGTCTCTGTTGCCCACATAATGCGTCGAACAAGCAGATAGGTACGGAGTACATGAGTATTAGGTACTTGATGCAACTTTCGAGCATTGCAACTGAGTCCTCATTGTCGATTAGCTTCAGGAGCGCTGACTACGGAGCGTCACTCGGTCTCCTCGCGGTATTCCTTCATCACCTGGCGAACAGTAGATCGTCGTCCATTGACGGGTTCCCAGGGAACAATCGCAGGAGCATGACGTGCTGGCCCCAGGGCTACTGTCGTCCTAGCGTCCTGGCGCATCCGATTCTGCCGTCATCTGACACTCCCATTTGGACGAAAACCTGGCCGGTCTGGAGAGGCGGCGGCTTGGGGCCGTGGTAATTGAGAGATGAGATATCCCGACTCCATCTGGCATCCGGTGCAGCGTCAAAACATCTCACGGCAAACTTGGCTTGGCGCAGGGTTGTTTAGGCCGACGTCTTTTCTTCCTATTTGCCGCCTGATTTGCAAGGTCAAAACCAGCCTGCACGGGAAAGCGCATCTCCGTCTGCTGATGCTGACGACCGACGACTGCGGCCGCATGGCGGGGCCGCGATTCCATCGCAGAGACCGGCTTGGCGGGAAGGGCGCAGGAAGTCATTTAGATGCTGAGAGATTGGGAGCGTTTGAGCAAGAAAAATATCACGACACCCTAATTCGGCCTCGTAACTGGACCTATCTCAAGCTGGTGTTTTGTGAAGTGGTAAGCGAGCGTGAGAAAAGCGCGGCTAGGAAGAACTACGCAGTAGCACCCGGTAGTGTGATTCTGATGATGAAGCGTGCCTTCCAACCTTCCAACCAGGGCGGTGGCTAGTAGAGCGCGAGGCCGTTACGCCTTCTCCTACATTGATTAGTTCAGGTAAATTGGTGCCAGAGATGGAAACTCGGAGCATTGCAGGTTCCGACTTTCGAGCAATTACGACGGAGTACCTAGTAAGGTATTGATTACCTGAGCACCTCTACTGACTCTTGTTGATTGCATGGCCGACGCCTTTCCATCGCATCGTCGTAATCTGCACAGCGTATTGTTGCGTATACATGTTCTAGTACCTTGGAGGTGACCTAACCTTAGAGAAGTCCATGGCAGGTCCCATCTATTAATCGATCCGCCGTGGCGTTTTCACTGCCGCATTCCACATATGCTGTCGTCGTAGCTGTTTGACGTTATCTGAAACGCCTCCGTGGCGTCTTGAATATTGAACATCTCATGATGTGCCTGTATACGCATCCAATCCATCCTGCGTACCTGCCTCGGCACTACCTAACTATATCTGGGGCATCGGCCATCACCAGGCCTCGGAACCGGGAGAGCCTAATTGCGGCTTGCATACATGCGCATCCAATCGCAAACCAAGCATCAACATGAATGGCGCATATTGATCCCAAAGGAAGCAGGCCCTAGGATCTCGGTTCGTCCTAGGCCGTGAGCGTCTTTGCACGTGCTGGAGAAGAAGCAGACGATTTCGATATCCGTACCGCCGAGCAGAATTCCCTTCCATTCCATTCGTATTGATGAGGTGGTGGACGCTGTGCAGCAGACAAAACAACTTTTGCCGGTGTGGAATCGTGACATCACAGCGCCAAAAAATCCGTTCAGGCAGCCTCACAGCGCTCCCGAAGCCCCAACCCCACTGGGTCGGCTCCCCGATCCCTTCTTCCGCCGGTCCGCCACTTGCTGCATCAATTCCACACCGAGACGCTCGCCGCACAATTTGGAATTTCAGATTCAATGCAATGCAATGGAAACATGCGGCATTCTGTGATATTTCGGCGTCGTAGTGCCGTGCGCTTTCGACTAATTTGCCCCAATGCAGAAAGAGCCGTCTGGCTGCTGGCGCAAAAGCCCAAGGAAGGCTAACGTCTAGTCGTGATGCTGATTGTCGCTGCCGGTTACCTCAAGGATGCTGATGATGCTGATGATGCTCTTGGCCCCTTGCAGTCTGCAGTGTCTAGCGGGCAATAGTCTCGACATCTCCAGAACAGGTACAACTCCCAACAACGCAGTCATGGACACACGGCGAGCTGACAGGCCACACACCTCCCCCCTCCCCCCCAGTTCAGCCTTGCTGCAGGTCAACTTTGAGGCCCCCAAAGGGCTTCTTCCCACGCCCCCGGTCAAAGGCCAATGACCCGTGCACTGGGTGACTCTTCCAGGCCTCGAAGCCCTGCCCGTCCTACCTGCTAAACCTTGCCTGCTCAGGACACCCCATACGAGTACATGGCCTTGGCCTGGCGTTTGTTTATGACCGTCTTGTCTGTGCGAGTACCTTTGTGTGCTGCGCCTTACTGTGCAGTAGAGCGTCTCTGCTCTGGATCCCTTTCCAGACACGCTCGCCGGTGGGAACTGCTCCGAGAACCGCCACACTCACACTCCCTTTCCGCAGCGGACCCTGCCAGCCATTTTGCAGCCACGACGCCTTAGGTTGCGCTCTAGCCATGGCTCGTTGCAGTCACCTGTCAAGATGATTGAGTGCTCGCTCTCATCCGTGGGTTCGATTTCGGGGCGCCATGGTTCGTCCGCTACTGGCTGATCCGCCGGGTTGGCATCATCACATCACTGGTGCCTTGCACCTTGCAGCCCGTCTGCACTCTGCACTCTGCACAATGCAGTCTGCAGTCTGCAGGCCGATACCACCACTCGACTGCACCGAACATTCCATCTCTCGATGCAACAGGGGACCAGACCAGACCAGACCAGACCAGACATGAGGCTCGAGCACAGACAGACAGATACGATACGGAACCTTTGGCGTCCATCTGCGGTTCTTGGGCCACGGTACGGTACTTGCTCTACTGTACTACTGTACATAGTACAGCACTGGGCAGCAGCACGACTCAGTGTACTTCCGAGAACCCTGTTTCCGGTGCTGACCGGGTCCTGGAATGGCCCCAATGCTTACCAGCACAAGCACCTTGCAGTCTTGTTTCTTTTTGTTTTGTCCGCCTTGCCTCGCGCTCCACCAGCCAGCCCTCCCGCAATCCACGCGGTCCAGTGACGAGGGTTTGGGACCGGCCCATGCACCCCTGCTCCCCAGAAGCGTCCGATGGGCTAGAGGCGGGGCGTGCTTGTATCATTTGTCCGCTGCCATCCCAGCCCATGCACGCCTCTCCTGTTCCTTTTCTCGAGTCGATAATACAAGCAGAGCCCTTGTCCTGCACACGCCTCCGTCCTGGACATGCTACCACCTAGTACCAGAATGCTCTACCGTACACTACCGATCACTCTTGTACCTGGACCTTGACACCTTGTCTCCCGGCTCCCGCTCGTTGTCGACTCTAGGCTACGATGAAGAGCTATAAGGCTGCGATGCCTTCCCTCTTCCACCCTACATACATCCGCATCCACAGTCACAATCCCATCTCTCCATAGCCATCCGGCAGTTTCCTTGAAAGATCGGTTTCCTTGCCTAGTTTTCTATTCCTATTTTGGTCCTTGTCTGTTCTTTCATCTGTACTTGCTCCTTTCACTTAGCATTGCTCGTCTTATAAAGAGCTATCCCGCCATCTTGGAAACCAACCACTTTCTGTCGAGGCATCAACTCTCACCTACGCATAACATCAAACAACAAACCAAACAAGCCTCCTCTTCCTCGACCAACATAGACACCACACCCTTGCACTCCAACAACACCTGTTGGCCCACGACACAGACCCGGAGACGTCTGCCGGCTTCTCTTGCTCATCATCCCCTTCGCATGCAATCATCTCCAACCTGTCAACCAACACTCTATTCCCCCGCTCTCATACCAACTTGAATCATCATGTGCTATCAGCTTGTTGAGCTCTACTCGGCTTGCCGATGCCTCTACTACCAGCATGCCATTGACCGCTGCGCGGCATACGGAAGACCGGGCCACAACATCGAGCAGCGCACAATCTACGTCGGCTATGCCTGCAGTGCACATACCGGCCATAGTGCCCATCACGCACACGACTTTTCCTACTCAGACTCGGGCTATGGTAGTGGCCACTCCAGCCGCAAAAGCTACCGATGATGGGTTTTGTCTTCGGTAGCGGGCCCTCAGGCATGGCGCTTCCCGCGGCTGCTTCGCTTCGAGCTGGACGACTGGATCTCATTTCTTTACTCTGCCAATCCGTCGTCCATTCTCCTCATGCTCGTCCGCCAGGCACGGCAAAGCGCCTTGTCTAATCGCTCTCACATGAATCCATGTTGACAAAACATGTCAACATCCTCCTCGCCCATCCCCTCCTCCTCACTTCCTCAACCTACAATCACGACGTTACTGAAGACACGGAAAACGAGACAATGACGACCTTTCTCCCTCATCGGAGTTTGTTCCGACGATTTTATGATGCGCCACCGCGATGACTCCACTTCTTTCCCGGCGTCATACCTTGGATTGGGCATAAGCGACTGATGCGAAATGAAGCGCCGAGTACATCACTTTCTCACCTACGACATGCGATAGCCCTGTTTCTGGTCGATCGCGATCCTCTCCATTGTTTTGAGTTTTCGTTTTGCATAGCATCCGGGATTGGGACCTTTCATTTGTCCTGTTTTTTATTGGGGGTTTGGGTACGATAACGAGAGATACGGCTGCTCATAGGAAAGCGATTGCTTCCTCTTTTGCTTTTACTTTTTCCTTCTTTTTCCTTTTGTTTTGCTTCTCGGATCGCCGCAAGGCAGCTTGGATGAAACATTGTCCACTTTTCTTGGGTCTTTGGGCCAACTGGATTGGCCTCGGAATACACGGCATGGCATGGCAATTTAGACTACCTCATCTCTCCCACTCGGATTTACATCTTTGTTTCCTTTTCTTTTTCCTCTCTTTCTTTGCTATTTTCATGTTTGGGATTTGGGTTTTCATTTCTTTTGGATGATTTACACTGGACTTGGCGATATTCTGTTCGTGAAAGAAGGGCCACGTCATGCACCTGGTGCTGCATACGTTGTCATTCGGTAATGTCTTATTTGGGCGTGCGTTTTTATTGATTCTGCTTTTGGCCTCTGGCCGTGCGTCCACTGAGGTGGACGGATCTGATCTCTGCTCAAACAGCCATTGTTTTTCTTCTCTTCCTTTTTTTGTTTCTCTGTTTTGCATTTCTTTTCAAGCAGCTTGTCTTGCTCTTTTTTCCTTTTTTGTACTATCACCAGTTGATTAGATGAGTTGCGCTGCGCGCAATGTCTCGGTGACACCGGTGGCGGGCACCACCCATCTCTTAGCTATAGCCAGCATCAGGATGCTGCCAATCAATAGAACAAAAGTCTTCTGATAAATATTTCTCGTCTCTCTCCGTGCTCTTTTTTTTTTTCCCCTTCTTTTTCTCTTTTCTCTTTTCTTTTTGAAACAGGTATTTCTCCATACCACTACTTGGTGTATTTGCTACTATGGGGTGGCTTCGGCGCACAAGCTCTAACGGGTTATTGCGTACCGAAGCCGCCGTATCAAACAGCCGATCTATTCTTTTAGCCTTGACATGTTTCACTGAATTGTTGACGGAATGCCGCAGCGGCGCAGTTGCTACACTCGGCAGTATGATTGTTTTTTGCATTGTCTGGCCTTACAGAGTACTCCACAAGGGCTCAATGGCTCGCAACTAGATTACAGGGATCGGGCCTTAGATACAATGCCGCCAACAGCCCCGCTACCCATGTAATTTCACTTAATGTTCCTTTTGAGTCTCTGTCTTTTACAACCCTTTTTTTTAAACTAATTTCTCTCTACTTTACCAATTTGTCTCCTTATTCCCCTTTCAGTCGAATTATCCGTGGGGGGAGGGGGGAGGAGGGGTGTGGGAACTACTGTACCATCACAGTGGGTTTTTCTTCTTCTTGTTTCTTTTACCCTTAGGGAGCGTAAGATGAGAAAAAAAGTTGCCCGGCTTTCAAATTTCAGCCAACCTTTTTTTTCTTGTTGCGTTTAAGCGAGATGGAGGGGGGCCGCCGCTATTATACGCCCGCTCGCCGCTAAGAGCGTGGGATATTCCGCGATGAGATGGACAGCGGAAAGAAGCCGGAACTGTTTGAGTACACGCTACGAAAGTACAGTACACTACTCTAACCCAAGCGTTGCATTATTAACCATGGATGGTTATTTGGGGGTCTGATTAATCCCTGAGAGGGTAGGTTTCGGGATGAGTGATGAAGTAAGCACTGGCCGAGCGTTTAATGTCGGGGGCGCAGTTTGCTTGGGATCAGTATTATGTACCAAGCTTGTTTACTTTTTCCCTTTTTTTTGGCGTGTGTTTCTGGTTTCGTTCAAGCAAAAGACAGAAAAGAGACAGAAAAGCTGAGGCTGGAGCTGGGCGAGCTATTTTTAGAGACGTGGCTTTCGCTGCCGAACCGAACTCGGCGAGAGTTTTTGCCTATTCGGGCGAGGCGTGGCGTGTGGTTGGCCAGGGGGGTATAGAGCAAAATAAAGAAGAAAAGAAAAGGAAGGGGCGGGCGGCTGCGCGCTTGACGGAATAGAATTTTTTTGTCTTCTTGCTGGGAATAAGACAAAAAAGAAGCAAATAAGAAAAACGTGGCATACTAAGCGGGAAAGGGGTGGGGGAGGAAAAGAGAGTTGAACACACTTGAGTGTTTCTTTATTTAGAAATTTTATCTGACATTGCGGCTGCTTCGCGTCTATTCAATATGTTTAATTTTCCGCGGCTGCGAGTGATGCTACTACTGCCACTTAAGTCGGGCGGGATGGATGTGAATCAGATGAAAAAAGGACCCGAATAGGAAATTGTTACCTCCCGTCTTATGTGGACTTACACCAGCAATGCTCGACACAGGATCGAAAGGGGAGGAGGCCGCTCATTTGTGCGGTGCGCTACGATTGACCTTGATTGGTTCCGGGGAACTGGGATAGGGAGGGTAGGCGTGAGATTTGCTCTTTTGGCAGCCGGAAGGGGGGGGGGGCAAGACACGCATGGGAGATGCATGATGGGATGACGCTTGTACAAGTACACGAGATGGCATACGTCGAGGTTACAGCGCTGGCCGGCCCTTTTCCCAGTCGCACAAGCACTTTGTACGAAGGGCCAGGGCGGACTTGACAGGCGCGTCTGTGCTAGGCGCCTTGGCGCGGGCGATCGCATGGGGGCGAGATGACGGTGACCAGATGCGCCGTATGCGCGGGCGCGCCTGTTTTGTGCGAGCGAAGCACGTTGGTTTAGCCTGGTCCTAATTTTATCTGATAGAGAGAGTATTGCCTAGTTGAAACACGATCGCTGTGGTTTTCGGCGATGACACTGGAGTTAGCTGCGGCTAACTACTGGGTACTACCTTAGTAGGTACAGGTAGCTATTTGGTGGGCTGAGCCGAAACGGGTAACCCACTGGGCTGATGCGCACACATGACTGAAATGCCTTGGGAACCAACCGGGACGGGGAACCTTGCAGAAATGCTGGGGGGTTTTTCCCCGTTCGCTGGGGTTTGCTGCTCTCAGAAACAAGCATCCATGCACCACTGACCTGGTAGGTAGTAGATACCCGAGGCAGGCACCTGCTTTGGTGGCGCTCAGGGCAGTGCGGAGTACCAGTGCTTGTACAGAATACCGCCTCTGAGCAGATGCCCCTGTAAGGTTGCCTGTCGAGTGAGGCTCTTCGAGGTCAGGAATGCCCACCGCGCGGCAACTTCCCAGGCGGTCGCGTGGTATTACTTGCTAGTGGAAAGCAGCGGCGAAGTCGCTCGGCGATGCTTCTTTCCGGGCACTTTATTTTTTTTTAATTCTTTTTTTTTTTCCTCCCGAATCCTCGCTGAGGATCCGAGGGCACGCGCATCATGACGTCCTAGACCGTCCGCGGATACAATACCCTAAAATGCGAGGTCCTACTTCAGGCAAAGGGGCTTAGAGAATAGTCATAGGTTCATCTCTTAGTCATTCACGGCAGGACTTGGGACTTGGAGCCTGCTGGTCTAGGCAGAAACCGCGGTATCCCGCACACAGGTAGGGCGTGGGACCGCCGCAGTCATTGCTGCAGTTAGTTAGTCATGCCTTGACAGGAATATTCGACGTTTGCCTCTTCTTTTCTTCGTTCTGGGCCGCATCCACGCTTTCTACAAGTACGTACCGAGGTGGAAGCATTCGGCAGCGTTCGCCCGGGAGGATCGCGGGCTGCATGCTGAGAAGGAGGGGGATTTCGGCCAGAGTGTCTCGATTCGGATGGAGGTGGTTGGAGGGCTCTGGTGCCTGGCGAGCTGCTGTTGGAGGTCAGAAATGATCGACATTAGGGTGCTTTGTGCGATGCCCGGCAACCCTTTTCTTTCTTCTTGCTGTCTTATTCCGCCGAGCGACCCCCAAAGCCACGCTCCCTCTTTTTCTTCACGTCAGACGGGCGTGGCTAAAAAAAGACAGCAAGATGATGCCCAGAGAACGATGGAGGAGAACGAGGTTCTGCCTTTAGTGGTGTAACACCGATCTTGTCGTATCGTATATCGTACCTGACAATACGAGGGGAAGGATGCGGAGGGCGACAGGCGGGAGGGAGGGGCGTGTCCTGTCTAGCTGGCCATTTCAGCTGAGATGTGCAGCGTTGTGTGAGGCGCTCGCTACACAAGCTGCACGGCCTTGCAGTATGTGTCAACCCGTTAATAACGATAAGGCTGATGGATGACTGATGGTACTACCTACCGCCTACCACCTACTGCTCGACTGCATGCATGTACCTAGCCCTAGGTACATAGGACCTGCCAGCGTGTACGGGTGTGTGCGCAGCAGTTTGTGGCACATGGGCCTGGCCGACTGATCTTTGTAGAGTCACTCCTGCTAGAAGCAGGGCGGCGTAGGTGCAGCTGTTGGGTTCGTATTTGCGCTTGAGACATAACAACCGGATATGAGCGACTGTAGGCAGGGCGAGACAATAGAGGTAGGGGCCGAAAGGAACTTTGGAGAGTCGGCGTTATTAGGTACCATTGAAGTAATGTAAAGGAGATGTCAGGGGAAGTTGACTGCCACAGCAGCCAAGGATCATACCAAGGTCGTCCCTTGTATAGAACAATGTGAGTGAATGAGCTTCGGTCAGTTTCAAGTGCCTGGCCGGCAATACCGAGTGCTTGGATTTGCATGGGCATGCACGAATGTCGATTTAGTAGATGCCAAGGTAGGTACCAAGATAGTCACTGCGTTTGTCTCGAGAAAACTCTCAATACCTACCTACATAAGGTAGGTGCCTATTTGGGATAATGGATACATCTGTTTCCAGGCGATAAAGATGGGGTACTAGGTATCTCTCAGGAGAAGCAAATAATATTGACTGGCTTACAATTTCAACGACACATCAAAGGCAATACTGGGATGGAAGTAGCCTAAACACAGTAGCGGTTTAGTGGATATAATGCAAAGTCCCAGCAGTTTGGAATCAACCAGCTTTGGCGTATGGCGCTTTGCCTGCCTTCATCAGGGATAATGCCGCCACCGTTGGGAGCAATAAGCAGCTACCATAAAATGGGGACTGACACTTGAGTTGTTGGGATCTCTAAGGTGTATTTGCTATTTGCCACGTCTAGTTTGCCTCCATCCATGCCAGCTCTAAATTGTACGGATGCTCGGTACGCTTACATGTATATTTGCCCAAAGCGGGCATATTATGATTCATGTGCTCCTAGTGAGGCGACATCAACCAAGCATCTCGCAGTATTGTGCGCCCTTTAATGAAGACCCGCATCACTGCTACTCTGCTTCTGCCGTCTGGATTATGAGCGGCCCCTTTTTGTCCCCTACCTTCTCTCCCGCGTGTGTGCCTGAATGAGCTAGTACCTGACTGCAAGTTGATTCCGGGTTCCGACTCCTTCACCTGTTCCAGAAGAAGAAAAAGATAAGGAGAGAGAGAAAAGACAGTAGAGAGAGATAGAGTGATAGAGTGATACAGAGACAAAGAATATAGTAGCTAAGTACCTAGTAGGTACTAAGGCACTTCGTACTCGTACGCACTTGCTTCACTTGGATGCCAGGGATTCTGGGGAAGGCGCGTCCCAACACTCGCCAACCCTCGCCAGGCTGTCATCAACGTCAACAAAAGCAAATTTGACAGGTCCCCAGAACCTCAGCCTCACCACATTGTTCCATCCATCACCAACCTCATCAATATCCTCTGCTCGCCACGCCATTCCTATCCTCTCCTCCCTGTACAATCTTCGGCTGTATTTTTACTCGCTGAGTATTTATATCTTACTTGCATGGTTTCACAGCTTCGCCTGCCCTCTGATGCCGAGAGGCCACCAGGCCCTCTTCCTCCGGCACTTGTTCTAGTCAACATTCTGCCGCTTGCTTACAGATAGCGACTTTGACCAACGGTTTGAGCCGTCGGAACCGACCGACTTTGGAATAACCCCCGGCAAAACCCCCTTTTCACTCGACACTCCTGAATACTCGAGACACGCCTCTGGGCCGGCCTGTGTATGTCCTGCAAGTACGGGGTAGAAACGGTCAGGTGGCGATGCTCTTGACGTTGTCCCACAGCACCCAGGTCTAGCAGCCCCGTCATCAAACTGACATGGAGGCTGGCGACTTCGATCAGACACCGGTACCAAGCTGCCGCCCTTCTCTTACCACTCTCAGGCCTGACCAAGACAACACGACAGCTGATGAAGCCGGAATCTCCATCAACAGGGCCGCTGTATTTAGACACCATTTGCTAAAGACTTCGACCAGCGGCCCTACCCTTGTAGACAGAGACTTGCCCGCACCGCCAGTCGTCAGCCGATCTCCCCCAGTCAAAACGCCCTCCCAGTCGTCTAAGTCAGAGCTTGAGAATCGAGACTCTCCCGCTGTCAGAAATGCATCCGTATTTCCCCGGCAAATCCCCCCTGTTCATCTTGCAGAAAAGATGGCTTACCCATCCCCAATACGGCTCATCGACCGAGAGTGTGTCAACATCTCTCTGCATAGAGGCGATACACATGCCCAAGTACACTATCCCGGACTGCTGGATGGTGCCGATTTTTGCGAGAACGGGAACCGATCGCCGGGATCTCAAAGTTTTATCTCATCAACACATCCATCGTCCCCAGTATCCGATGACACCCTGATGAGCGGTGAGATGCATCGTGTGCTGTCCAGTGGTGATATTTCCGTCACTGAAGTGACAGTGCCAGTTCATCGGCACAAGGGTCACAGCATAGTCGTCAAGGTTCGCCCTGCTTTCTCCCATTACCCTGCACATTACCCAGAGTTCCTGGGGTATCGGCGTGACTTGGACTATAGTCGCTCTGCCAACAAAGTCCAACCATTCGACCCAGTGGCTGATAATGTTGCAACTGCAACGAGTAAGGACAGCCATACAATTGATGATCTTGAGGCTGTCGACTCAAAAAGTGGGCGACGTGACGGCGGCAATGATGGGGAAGGTGATCAGGGGTCATCATTTCCAACTTCGAAGTTACGCGCTTTCGTACCCGAATTACCTCAACAAGATGACCATCAATACCACAGCGACAAGCCAAAGGTCAGGCCATATTCTAGAACGGCGGATGATAAGGTCATGTTCCACCATCTTGTTGAAACAACCCGATTTTCTCCCATAAACAATGAATTCGAGCGGCGTGCAGTCACGGAAGATGACTCATTTTCACATCATACCAGCCTAGAGAACACGCCAAAAAGAGCCATGGGAGATTTTGAAACAATGCTGTCGCGTAACAACGAGGCATCACAATTTCAGTACGAGACTGAACAGAAAGTCATCGGGAGAGAGATCCCGGATGATGTAAAAGAAATTGCCAATTCTCAACATCGTCTCATATACTCTCCTATCCCCGTCTCCAAGATTCGCCCCATCTTCACAAATCAGCCCTCGTCAAGCGGACACGAAAGCCATTCTTCGGTATTCAAAGTTAGGCCCGTTCAACAAGCTACCGGCTCTACAGCTACTCAGGATAAGCCATATTTCCAAAGGGAATCGGGTCAATCTCTTCACTCATAGGACGGAAACTTACAGAGACAAACATCCGATGGTTCGTCCGCGCGAACGCACTCTCTTGGCTCCACGTTGGATTACAAGCGCACCGCTCAGTGGCTACGTGAGATTCTAAAGTATCCAGAGACTTATACCTCCAAGTTTACAGAGCTACCCTCCAAGAGCAAGGCCAAAAGGCCATCTTCGGCATCGCAACGGCGGCAGTCAGATACAGCGTTATCAAGCGTCCTCCCGTCCCGCCGCATGACGGGCTTGTCATCGCAATCTAGAAGATCTGAGCCCAAGATCGATCCGTTGATATTTCAGCGAGCAGTAAATGATCTTGAAAAACTCATGAATGAGGCTATTGCATTGGCCTCTGAGGTGGTACAACGGCCTGACACCCCTTCATGTCCCAAGATTCACCAGCCATGCGTCAGTTTGCACACTCGCTGTCATAGTGTCCCCGGTGGCCAGGACGGGGCCTCCCAAGATGATGACACATCAGGTCGCACTCACGATAGCCAGGGCAAATTCAATGATGTTGACCTACAGAATGAAGGCCAGCAGATGAGGCCGCTATACCAACATGCGGCTACATATACCGGTGCCCCTGAGCGCCCACGACTAAACGAAATCATACAAAATTACTCTAGTGAATGCAATGAGATGACTCCTAAAGTATTTCCAATACGGAAGGAAGCACACCCTCAGACTGCAGCTGAAGCATCCTTCGGCGTTCCGGGGAGAAGATCCAGCATCAAGGGGGCAAGCTATGCCGCGCCGAGCTCTCGCAAGGCTTCGGACAGAAAGCCCAAGTTGAATCGCAAGAAACAGTACGAGGATCTATCAAGAGGGACAAAAGATACCACCGCCTTGCAAGGCAAGCCCCGTCAAAGCAAATCGGTACCAAGGGGTTCACACGCAAGGCATGCTTCACACGAGTCTGGAGAGGATGATACTCCCGGTCGTGAGGTTGCTGGTCGTCGAACGCACAACGATCACGGAATCAGTCTCCGCCGTCGATCTCATGTCAGCCTACGGGGGGCACAAGGATTCAGCTTGGCCAAGTCACGCAAACGACAACCAACTGCAAGAGACTAGTCACCAATCCGCAAGAGATTTGTCGCTACCGTGGCTTGTATCAGCACTGCCTTGATCGGCATCATTTTGGGCATTTACGCTGGTTTGGTTCCCTCAATTCAGTACTACATCATCGACCAGTCTCATGCCACAGTCCACGGCAACACTGGTTGCTTCCTGGGATTGGCCATTCCAACCTTTTTCTTGTGGCCACTTCCCTTGCTACATGGGAGAAAGCCATACATCATGACGAGCCTCGTCCTCGCCATGCCTCTTCTGTTCCCTCAAGCTCTCGCAGTGAATACCCAGAGGCTGACCAACACAGGGACATGGAGAGCCATGCTTCTCGCATCGAGAACGCTTATGGGAGGCTCACTTGGGTTTGCCAGTATGAATTTCCACTCTATACTGATGGATTTATTCGGCGCTTCGCTCATGAGCACAAATCCCCATCAGGAAGTCGTTGACCACTACGATGCAAGGCGGCATGGCGGCGGCATGGGAGTCTGGCTGGGGATTTGGACGTGGTGTTGGATTGGATCTCTCGGCATCGGCTTTTTTGTTGGGGCCTGCGTCATCGACAAATATCCACCAACGTGGGGATTTTATATCAGCATCATCATAATTGCTGTTGTACTCATCCTCAATGTCCTCTGCCCTGAGGTCCGCCGATCTGCTTTCAGACGATCGGTAGCGGAAGTGAGAACTGGTGGTGATATTTCACGCCGCGTAGCCCGGGGCGAGATCATGATGCACAGGGTCAAAACTGGTCCCAAGTGGTGGGGGCAAGAGGTTTATCATGGCATTCTCCTAACTCTAGAAATGCTTCGCCAACCTGGCTTCCTGATCCTAGCAATCTACTCAGCATGGATCTACGCACAAGTGGTCTTGACCATTGTATTGCTGGGATCGTTGACGTCCAAATTTTACAAACTCCGATCACCCAACGTGGGTTTGCTCGTTGGCAGCGTCGCTCTTGGAGCCATACTGGCTATTCCTTTTCAAAAGGCCAGTTTCTTTTCAAGATCTCGCCAAGCACAGCTCAACACAAACAAGGCAACAATGGAAAAGAAAATTGCGTGGTCATCCCACCTTGTTCGGCGCACCATCTTTACCATTTTACTGCCGCTAGCAGGAGTTTGCTATGCGTCAGTATCTTCCGGGCCCCCAATGCATGTTGGAGTACCAACAGTTTTTGCCTTTTGCATAGGACTCTTGTCATGTCTCGCTATTGCAGAATGCAATGGCCTGGTGATGGAGTGTTTTGACACTTCTGATCTTTCTCCTGGAATGACAGGACGTCAACGCAGCAAGTCGGGCAAGTCTGAAAAGCGAACAAACTACTCTTCTTTCCCAAGAGTGACTGCTGGTTTTGCGGCTATTCATACTCTGGCATTCATCTTTGCTGCGGGTGCCACTGCCCTTGGTGGTCTGGTCACCAGGACACTAGGTCAGCAAGTAGCTACCGGAGTCGTGGCAGGCATCCTGTTCATTCTCACCGTCATGTTACTGTTAATATTGGCTCGGTTTACAAATGTGCAAATTATACCAAATTCAAAGATGGAGGAGATGGACCGACTAATCGAGGCCCGCCGGAGATCTACCATACGGCGTGCCTCTATGCCCGACGACCACCAAGCGGTGGTAGAGGAGGAAAAGGCATGGAGACCTGCTATGCTTGGAAACCCTATTGGCAAAATGCGAAGAATGAATGTCTTTGAGCTTGGAAGCAAATCACGGTGGCAAGAGATCCGCAAGAAAAATAAGTTGGTTGACGAAAATGCTCATCTAAATCAAGCAGCATGGAATCAGGGGCTAGAGGCACTGGATGACAAACTAAGCGATATCCAGAGTGATGTGGAAGACTTTTTCGGGCTGGGGAGCGTAAAGAAGCGAAGCTCGAGACGTTTGCGCCCTTCGGATGAAACCAGCGACTCAGCACAGGACATTGAGATGACAGGTTTAGGAAATCAGGCATCTGGATCAAGGCCATCCCTAAAGCGCTTCGTGGAGAGAGAGTGCGTCATGAGTCAAACGGTGGCAGAAGAGAATGAAGGGTTGGACGATCATCGAAGAAACCGTTGAGTCTCATTGGCCGCAATAGGTTGGTTGGAAAGCACAAGTGAGGAGGCAAAAGATGTTGAAGCATGAAATACCTAAGCTAACCGCTCATAATATACATTGCGCACTGCTCCCTCTTCCACTAATACAAATAAAATGCTATGCAAAATTGTACGTCGCTATAGATGACATTTCCAATCCTCCTGCGCTGTGATTTTTAATGTACATGATTCTTGATGTTTAGAAAGAAAATATTAGCTAAAAGTAAACAGACGAATGCTCTTTAATCAGGTGTCATAACAAACATAACAATGGGGATAATTGTCAAACAACGAAACAAGTGAAAACAGAAAAACACCATAAGCCCAGTCATCACCATCTGCTTTTTTATCCAAACAAGGGAAAACAGTCTCTTCCTCTTTCCTCTTCCGTCTCCGAAACATCATACAGCGTTCAAAAAGCAAAAAACATCGCTCACTGAGCAATCAAGAACAGGTCATCTCCACGTCTGGTAGGCGTCAGCCGAGGCTTCCAGACCGGCGTTGCAGGCAACTCCGTGGGCTCCTGCGGCGGAGGCGGCACCCCCGGGGACGAGACGCCGGCGGGGCGGCGGAACCATTTGCTCTGGGAGAGGGAGGAAGACGAGGAAGCGGCGTTGGCCTGGGGCACGGGGATGGCCATGTTCATGTTGGCGGCGCGGGAGGTGCCGAGGCGCTTGGCGAGGAGGGAGGAGGCGTGGGAGTCGGCGGAGTGGGCGCTCGTGGTTGTTGTTGTGGAGTTCCCGGTGAGGAGGGGGCCTGGGGGGAGGGCGTCTGGGTAGTATGATGGGGCGAGGGGTTGGAGATGCTGTGGCCGGCGTTGTTGCTGTTGCTCTTGTTGCTGTTGCTGAGGTTGGGGCTGCGGCTGTTGAGGTCGCTGGCTTGGTTGTTGCTGCCTTTGCTGTATCTGCTGCAGCTGCTGTAGATGCAGGGAAACGGGTCTGGCGGCGGGTTGCTGGACAAAGGGGGGCTGGTGGTTGCGGGGATGGTGATGCGGGTATCTATTTGGCTGGGGGGGATAGGGAAGGTTGTAGGTTGCAGGGCCCTGGTTGAACTCTGGGAGGCGAGTCTGGTACGGGTAGCCGGAGGAGTCGATGTTGGGTCTGTAGGCGGTTGGATGGGGAGGGAGCCGATAGGGGATGGAGTAGTTATTGGACGGCGGCCTTTGGTAAGCTTGCGCAGGATATTGTTGTTGTTGTTGTTGCTGCTGCTGCTGCTGAGGGGGATATGGCCGTGAAGAAGGGCCTGGCTGTGAGGATGGACCAGCTTGCCGTGGTACTTGATTGCGCGGGCCCTGGTAGAATCTCTCGTCTGGTCGCGATGCCGGAGCTTCTCCTCGCATCATGGGAGAGCCGGTTCTGATGGCACCAGGAGATTCCATAGCGCGGGGTCCCATGAACTTCTTCCCATGTTGCTTAGGCATATTACCATCGGAGGACATGGTGCCAGCAGCAAGCGGCGCTCCAAAGCTCGGGCTTTGCTGGGCAGGGCGATCTCTCATGGTAGTGGGCTTAGGCCTAGAATATCCCGTAACAGCAGCTACGCCTTTAGCAGCAGCCACATCAGAGTTCAAGTTCCCTGGAGAAGGCATTGCGGCATTCAGGCTAGCCGGAATCTTGGGATATTGAGTTGGCGAACGACCCCTTCCAGGCCGTAAAGACCGCGGCGACTCAACCACGGGCGAGAGATTACCTGGCTGTTCTAACGGAGGAGGAGATCTCAGATCAGTGTCATCCGTCGAGGTCGAAATAGTCGTCACGCCGCTATCAGTAGACGTAATTCGGGGACGAGTCAAAGATCGCGTCGAAGACCGGCGATTGGTGAATGAGCGACGGGGAAAGTTGCTGCTGTTGCCAGTACCGGAGAAAAGGGGTCGCGGGGCATATGGCTGCTGATCCTGCTCTGGGATCTCTTCGTCTGAAGAAAGCGACGGCTCGACGGCCCTGATGGTCTTCTCGGGTGGCATGATGATACCTAGGGCACCCTGTCTGGTTTCTTCAGCAGCCTTTGATGCTTCGCTTGCTTTGTTATCCCTTCGTTGGCTTGCCGCTTTGACAAGCGCTAGAGCACCAGCAGCTCCTGTGGCCAATCCCAGACCAGCAACCAACTTGGGTGCGGCAGATTTGGGTGCGGCGGTTAATGGACTAATGGATGCCTCAAGCTCTGCAATCTCCATAGCCCGTGCAGGGTCACCAAGCCTCCAGTTGCCGCTCCTGTCTGCAACATAGTAAGGGGCCGCAGTGTGCGGGTCAGCCGAAGGTGGTCTCCAAATCTGACCACCTGGTGAGAGTGAGGACCTGCCATCCTCTTCAAATTCCGTGGTCGAGCTATCGTGTCTGGTAACGACGGGGACGAACGGCTTGAAGTTTCCTGTCTTCGGAATGATGAGCTTCAATGGCGAGGGCGACTGAGGCTTGCCTGGAGGGGTGAGATTTCGCGGCCGAATAGATGGCTCAGGCATTTCTGGTTGACGCATCGCTGGCCGTACCATGGGCTGTGTGATAGGCTGTGCCTTGAGTTGCACCTTGGGCTGCACCTTGGGTTGCGCTGTAGGCTTTGGTGATGAGGACGCAGCCATTGCGCCGCTCATTACTGCCCCTGATGCTACACCCGCTGCTGCCGCTCCCATTATTGCTGCAGCGCCGAAATGGGAGTCTCCATCTCGACTAGGCAGCGAAACCTCTAGCCTTGGGGGGCCCTGGTTCATGATAGGTTTGGCTGGAAGTAGTTTTGACAAAGGCCTTGCGGACGTCGGTGTAGTTGCCCGAGTCCCGTCTCTTGTGTTAGCAGGCGATATTGCTAGCCCAATGGCACTGGGTCTCCAGCTCGCTCTATTATACCACGATTTTGTCGGAGCAGGCATGGGCCCTGGGTCGAGGGGCATGCGAAGTTGGTTCGCAATCCAAGAATCCGTGCCTCCACCGCCGCGAGGACCCTTTTCTGCACTAGAATTCCACGAATCTCTCAGTGGCCGTCCACCCTTTCTCATCTTTCTTCCGAACCGAGACCTCCTCTTACGAAGGCATCGGCAGAAAACTGCGATGCCAAACCCGATACATCCTACACCAGCGATACATCCAATTGCAATTCCAGCTACTTGTCCTGTGCTTAGAGACGCTGAAGCCTTCTTTTCCCCTTGTCCACCAAATATGCCATCGGGAACATTAGTACCAGTACTGGTCTCAGTTGCTGATGTGGTGGTCTCGGCAAATGTCGGAGCCACTGGATCAGTTGTGAGAATCTCGGCAGGAGATGTCGTCGATGACTTGACGGAAGTGGACGATGGTTTAGTCGTGGACTTCGTCGTGGGTCCATTCGTGGATCTAGTCATGGAGGGTCTAGCACCAGACAGCGACGTGGGATCCGTAACAAGCGTCGTTGGGAGAGAGAGTGACGATACCGTCTCCCTTGGAATTGCGGTGGGTATCGAAGTCTTATGGCTCGTCTTTGTCTTCGTCTCCGGTGGGAACGTAATTGGTCCTGTGCCAAACAAAGGAACAGCTAACGTGGCTGTGATGACACTGTGAGTAGGTTGCACAGCGCCAGGCTGACCATAGCACATGAAAAAGGCTTTATCAATCACCGCATCTGTTCACCTGTTAGTCTTGTAATCTCATGCTCTCTTGGTGATCTCTGGCCTACCGCTTGCAACCTGCTTAGAACAAGCTCCTGCTGCCCTCTCCACGGCAAGACACTGAACGGCCGCCTCCCCAATTGTGAATCCATATGCTCCGATCCGCGGGCAAAGAGCTGCCAATGTTCTCGCCGGGCGGTCCGCATAGCTGATATTAAGGAATGAGTTGAAACACTGAGCCGCACAGCTCGGAATGAAGGAATCAACGTCTCCTGACGAACTCAGGGGCGCTGCTGCTACGGTGTAAATGAGTGTAATTAATAGGAGTAGCATATAAGAAGGAAGCCTTCTAGACATTCTATCAGAAAACATCTATTGGATTCAAGCAGGAATTAGCATCAGAACGAGACATGCGTATTAGACCAAGCCTATTGTCACAAAAGGCAAATCAAGCTTGTGGCGTCTCATTGCAATCGACTCCGCAGTAACACAAAGCAAACAGCATTGTTGAACTTTTCCGGGTCCAAGTAGTCGAAAATCACATCGTGGCAAATAGCATAATCCGTATAGAATTAGTAGAACTGACCTAAAGAAAGACCCGGTATTATGAAAGAGACGACCAGCATCTCAACATGACTCGACAAAAACGAAATAGTATAGAAGAAATATAACGAAGGTGTGTTTCTCGCTCTAAAACAGGTATGTCGTACAAAAAGGAAACCGAAATGAAACGAAACCGGAGACGAGAGCAAAGAAAATAACAAAGGAGATGGAGAACAAAAAGAGATAAAAGGGAAAATGGAGTTGGTAGAACGAAAGAGAGAGATCTGCCGGGGAAGAAAGGAAGACAAAACAGATTCGGGGGGGAGCCCATGATAGAACTACTACCATCTCCATGAAACAAGAAAACACGCGCCGCCAAACCCGAGCAGCCACCGCCCCAGAGCAAAAGCGTCTTCCCTGCAAAAAGCTGCATCTTGGCCTTGAGCCGCGATCCGCTCGAAAGCAAATCAAACCACCATCGCAGCCGCCCGTCGTGCTGCACGCCAGCGGACCCATGTCCCGCCTCTTTTTTCTGCTCCATTTCCGTTTCTGTTTCTCGCCAGCGGGAAACAACCTTGTTTTGCCCATGGCGCCATGGAAGCCCATCTTCCAGCTCACGATGCATCTCGCGCCGGGCGCTTGAATGCATATCAGCCCTTGTCGTCCAATAGACTGGCAGATGCAAGGATGCGGGATGGTTGGCGCCTAGCAAGCGCGCCAGCTTCGTTGGCGCTTGGAGGATCCCGAGGCGGAGAGTCACGTGCGGCGCATCGGCCTCAGCCCAATCAGCGGACATGGCTTGGGGATCCTCTGGAGAGCGGAATCGCATCGTTGCTGCTGGTCCAATCGCTGAACAACGGCTCTGTCTGGTGTTGTTTCAACATTATGGCTACTGCATCTTTTTGCCAAGAGAAGAATCCTTGTTCTTCTGGTTAGTAGTCTAGCATCTTCATAAGCTTAAAGCGAACCAAGTACGTCATAACTCAGCTGTTGGGTACTGAGATACCTTTCTCTAAGTCACGATCCTCGAGAATGAAGGCATCGGGGAAGCAAAGGCAATGCCCAGCTGAATCCTGCCAACCGAGCCCTCGAAATTACCATCTCCGCTATAATGTTTCTTACAGGCAAGACTATCGGCCCGGCTGCCTAATCTAGATCAATCTGCATCACCTCGCCATATGTAACCGCCATGCTTATGTGATTCAGCAGATACGGGGTACATCGGCGCCAAATGAAATCTACTAATTCCCCTTTTCCAAGATGACTTGTTCTTCATCGAAGTGTCCCAGTATGCTAGATTTCTAAGAAATATTAATCGTAGAGGTATCGGAAACCATCAAAGATGGAGCATGTCTTGTAGTAGATAACAGAATATTATTCTCTTTAGATTCCATCCTTGGGTTGACATCTAATTCTCTACCAAACCAACTCGGCAAAACTTCAACTACCTGGAGGTAGCATCTCCCCTTGTACAAGAAAGCCTTAGGATGTCATCCCCGTAGTGAGGCCAGCACGGCCTTGAAAAAAAGGATATTTCGCTTCACTTGTCTTGGGACCGCCCACCACCAGAGGAAGAAAAAAAAAAACATACCCTCAAAGACGCCAACGCCAGGGAAACACAAGTTGGGTTAAAAGGGAGATGAAAAAAGAAGTGCAGTGGATGAGATCTGTGTGTGTTACACGACAAATTTGCTCATTGCAAGGGGCGGGATAAAGTGAAGGGGCCGTATTCACAGTATCAATACACGCCAATCTCAGCCGCTCCACGGAATGCTCATGCTGCGATAAGTGTACGTGCAATGGTAGAGAGCTCACATGGCCATCTCGGCCTGCAGCTTCCGAAACTCGGCTTCCTCGTCATCCTCCTCCACGGCCACTTTCTTACTAGATATGGCTTTTGTCATGTCAGCACCGCACATATCCCACAAGTTCTGGCGGGTATACTTACGCTCTGCACGCGATGGCGTAGGCAACTTGTGGACTGCATCTGTCGTAGGCACAGTACCTGTGCTCAGCATTTGCTCGTCAACCTGCTCTTGTTGAAGGCCCTCCAATTCAGCCTCCAAATCCTCATCGTCAATCGCATCGCCAATCGTGTTTGCTGTAATCGCATTGACAATTTCTTCGCTGAGCGCATTCTGTTCGTTGATTTTATCCCTGTATCGTAGTCAGTTCATCGTTGTCCAGAAAGCACTGATGCTGAGGAGGGTCGCAGGGCCACGTACATGATTGCATCCACCTTCTCCGGTGTCAGGCCTTGGTGGATATTCTTGATGGCGTCTGATGACTTCTCCAACACTGCCAAGGTTTCGCGGTTGATGTTTGCTGATTCCATCGCGTTGATCTGTTGTTCGAGCGTTGCGATCTGCGCAATCGTCTTATCCAGCGTGCCCTCTGCCATCTTCTTGCGCCGCAGGGCACCCTTGGCCACTATTTCGATCCTGTCAACACTACTACCCCGCTGCTTCCGAATGTCTCGCAGTTTTCGTCTACATACCTGTCTTGTTTGTGTTGACGTTCTTCCTGGCGATTCCTTCCTGCTCCTCTATCTGGTTCTGGATGTGCCGCTCTCGCTTCTGCAGCATGTCAAGCTGCGACCGCAAGGCAAGGATGGCATTCTTGGCCGAATCCTTCTTCTTCTGAGCGGCAGCGCCGCCTCCAAACCAGCCCCACATGATCGAAAATGAAGATGAACTGCGAGGTTCCGGTCTAGGGGAGAGATGCAGCGGTTAAGTAGATTCGATGGGCTCGATGAACGGAGGTTCCAAGGAGCAGAATGACGGTGTGATGCCGCAACCGAAGCAGCAGGCTCTTGATGGTGGGGTTGGCCTACAGTCGTCGTGGTCCAGGTTAGCCAGAGAGGCGCAACAGCGACTAGGCAGCAATCCCAGCCTCGGCCGGCCCAGGGTAACGCACCTCGCGGGAGTTGTATGCACGCAGCGGCGCTGTAAAAATCGTCGGGATGCGCAGCCAGTCGCAGGCGGCTGATGTGATGCACTCGTCTGGGTTGTACGTGTGCTGCTATGACGGCACCCAACCACCTAACGGAAGAGTTTAGCCGAGACTCTGCCGCGCGTCATGTGCTGGCCGTCTCCTTATCTCGGCGAAGTGCGAGGAACCTGCTGCTAGTATAGAGGCCGGGCGTTGGTCGGCTGACCAGGCAATCAGGACGAGTGACCCTGGCTGATAGCGACCAATACAGGGAGGCCTGAAACAACACTATCACAGGGGGATTCCGAAGGTCAAGCCACATGCTGTCTTGGTCACTTTGCATACAGTACGTAAGCAAATATTAACTGCACTCCTATAGAATACAGCCATGACATAGAGGTTTCTATCTGTAAACAGCATGTTTGAATCAGTGAAAGGTTATGCCCAGCCTTCCGGTCACAAAATACCTATACTAGGTAGAAGTAATCCTTGAAGATTCATGCCATAACAAAGGCAGAAGCATGTACAGTCTGGCAAACAAAGGCCCAAGACCAAAGCCAATTACGCCAAAAGGGTAGTAGTTTAGTGGGTGCTAAGTTTTGGAGGAGAAATTCAAAAGCCCGTCGGCCGTGTGAATGATATGCCATGCCTACTCTAAACTCCCAAAAACACAAACATACAAAACTGTCCCAGCCTGCCTTGCCATTTGCTCCCGCCCTCATACAAGTAGCAATCTCCATTCCAGTAGCTCCAATATACGCAACGCAAGTAGCCAGAATCTAGTACCACCGCAGAAAAGGTATGCTCGCCGATTGTTTTCCAGGCTCGGCCCAAACATGCGCAAGCCTTCCCAAACAAATCCCATCATTATTAAGAGTGCGAACTAGCAGGCAGTCTGCGTCGGCAGCATGCAAGAGAACGTACTCACCGCCAACCGGTTATCGACATATCCATAGCAATATCAAGGCTGGTCGTATCTAAAGCGTGAAACCGGTCCGCGAGAAGTGTAATATCATTAGTCTTCGTACAAGTATTGGCCCTTGTTGCCAATATAACAATCCGAATTATTGCAGAATATGGGGACACGTGAAGCGAAAATTAGTTCTTCAGAGGCGCGTGTCGTGTTTACGCATTGCCACCCTTTTCTTCAGTGTCGATATGCCAGACAACGTAATTGGGGAGACCATAGACTTCGTAGCCAGCACGCTTGGCCATTTTAGCGAATCCTTCAGTCTCGGCCTGGTTCTCAAAAGCGTAGCAAGGAAAGTTGATACCTGAAGAGGGTCGAGGTTGTTAGCTGTTGCCTGGTTCATCAGCAGGGTAGTATTTGTGGGCATACCGGAACGGTGCACGTCTGCCTTGACAAGAATGTTGACGCCGCCAATGCCATCGAGCTCCAGCTCAACATCTTTGTTCTCGCGCCAATCGCCCATTTTTGCCATGTATGTTCTGCCAGTGTCATACTGCTTATAGCCTGCCGTCCTAGTAAGCACTATTCAACCAAGGTCTTGTACTCGTAGGGGTCGCATACCTTCGGCGAGAACGACATCCTTGTCCAGGCTATTCGCCAGCCTGCGGCCCTGATCAGTCTCGACCCAGGAGTTATAATCAACTATTAGTTGGTAAGCCACCGCACTTCCTTAGTTTCTCTCCGCGATTGGGTATCTCTTACATCGACCCTCGATATCCACACCGTCGCGGTAGCGGTGGAACCAAATGTCTTGGCATCGGAGATTAGCAACAGTCTTTCATCTTCAATCAGATATTATTCCTTACTTGGAACAAGAATGTCTCTGTCGTGAGCGATAAAGTCCTCGAGAATCCCTGTAGGGCTGTCCACAATGTCTACATCGCGCCAGTAAACCCAAGAGTGTTCCGGTTTCAGAGCAGTATAGAGAAGGTAGTTCCTGGCTCTGCCCATGGCCTTTCGTCGGGGGCCTTGAGCCTCAAAGGAGTGTCTCTCTTCGACATTTTGGCTAAGTTTGAATCCAAAATCTTTCTCAATGACCGTTGCGCTGTGGAAGGGAATCTGGTCGGGTCGCTTCTGGATGCGGTCGAGTTCGGAGGCAAGGACGGCGAGGGTTTCGTCTTTAGAATCTGACACAAGGAATGCCAGGTCGATCAGCCGATGAGGATATGTCAGTTCGGCGAGGAGCTCGAAGTATTTGGACAGATAAGGTGCGGCATCTTTCAACGGCGTCAGGATAAGTATCCTCTCTTCCTTAGCGAGGGCCTGCTTGGACGAGTTGATGGGGTTGAGGTCGACGTGCTCAATTGTACTCGAATTGACTTCGATAGGGGCATGGTGGTTGAAGATGACTGGTGTCTGCATGTGTCCATTCCATCTATTATGGTCGTTCGGTGACATTTCCATGGGTGGCTTAGCCGGGCCCCAGCAATAGAAGCTATGTGGCATCATGGGTGGTCAGTTCAGTTCGTTCAGTTCCATGCGCGTAACCAGCAAAAATCAGCATGCCGCTGCTCACCTCTGCATCTCCGACGCCGAGCTGGACAAGCCACGCCATAGCAGCAGGATGATTCCCGTAACTCCCAGCAGCAGTATAAATCGTGTTCGCGTCACGGCGTTCCACAATGCCCTGGTCGGAGGGATCTGCGCCCTCGCCGACTTCCAGCTCAATCCACCCTTTGGAAGCAACATGATGATCTCTCAGAGAGCGCCTCGGTTTCCAGAAGTTGCCGTCGCAATTGGCGCCTGGAGACGGGATTTATCGAATGTCGCTCAAACAGTTGCAGCGCTTCGGGGATGACACGGAGGGATTCGAGATGGCAGACGGGCTTACAAAATATGGGCCAAGAAAAAGAACAGAAAGAGCTTAAAACGAGAGTGGAGGCGACACCTGGATCGGGCCAACGATAACAGACCAGCAAGATACAGAGCCAGCGTTGTAATGAGAGGCTGCTGGACAAAATGGCGTCCAACGAAGGAGGGAAGGGGGAGCAGTCGAGATAGGGTGCTCCGTACCTATCTTAGCGTATCAGAGTGTTGCTGTCCTATTGAAAAGTTTAACCGTTGGGCAGGGCAGTGCAGAAGAATACATGGAGGATACTTTCATGTGCTGGCTGCAGCCGGCAGAAAAGTGGTTCCTGCTGGTACCGGGGATGTTGCGCTTTAGCGACACCCGACTTGAACCTTCAATCCAATTGAATCCTTGTGTCAATCGAGACGCGCTAGTCAGGAGGTCACTGTGGGAAGTGTGGGAAGCATCCAGAACGAAGTAGGCATCTCATTAGTCGTGGTTAATGCTACCTACCCTGCAGATACGAGTTATTACACCACGAGGGAGTGCAGTTGATGTGGCGATGTCAGGTAGTTATCACTTTTGTCTACAATAGCAAGCAGATAAGCCGAGTTGCATCATCTGGCCTCTCTATTCTGCAATCAACTTCTAAAGAGGGTCTCAGTAGGCATGAGAGTTGTAGTGACAAGACAGAAAAAACGGAGGCGCAAAAAAAAAATAGGCCGAGGTGGCAATCTCAACTTAGTATCACATGGTAAGATTGCGGAATACCGCTCCGTAATTCTAACGGGGAGCAAATCGGATGCCATGACAGATCAGATGGGAACCACATAGGCAACTTTATTCATGATATTCTTACCTAGTTTAGAAATCTCGACATTTTAGTTGGCTGTGTTATCCCTTCCCGCGGACTTGTGAAGTCATGCCCCAGCGCTTTTGCTGACCCGATCTGCGTGCATGTCACTTTGTTTTTCTCTGCACACAATTGCCGTGTCACTTTGCATGCCGGTACCTGGCCGTGATGACAAACTACTAAAACGACAACAAGGCGCAAACAACACCCGGCACACTTGAATGAACTGTGCCATTGCATCTTCATACATCTTCAGACAAAGTTTCTAGAGCTCTTGAGAATTGCCAGTGCCAATTATAGACGGCCCATAGACTGAGCGGCGCATGCAATTCCCCAGTTACGCGAGATCCTTGGCCGCAGTATACAGGCCACTTACACTGGGCATAGCTCAATTGAACCTTTCACCACAAACCTTCAGCACATACTCATCTGCAGCGATGGCGGCCACAAGGCGATCCGCGCGCATTAGCAACAAGGCGAGCGCCAAGGAAGCAGCTGAGACTGCAAAGACCACCACTCAATCCGCTCCGATCCCTCCAAAGGAGAACAAGCGAAAGAGAAAAGCAGCTCCCGAGCCTGAGCCTGCAGCGCCCAAGACACCAACCAAGAAGCAGCGCCCTGTTGCCCCCCCCTTAACTCCCACCACGAGCGTCGCAGCCCTCAATGGGATCAATGGCGCTGCCCACAAGTCCGTCACTCGCCTCGCAGACCCAAGATTCTCCAATGCGACGCTGCTGTCTCCAGAGACCTCGCGGATAGTCGCATCGCGCGATGCGGAAGCGGTGTCGCCGTCAAAAGCACCGTCACTCGGTGTCAAGACTACGACCACTGCAACAATCCTGCAAGAGGCCTGCGACCATCTGATCAAAGTTGACGAACGTATGCGGCCCCTGATTGAAAAGCATCACTGCCGCAGTTTCTCTCCTGAAGGGCTTGCGGAGAAGATTGATCCCTTTGAGAGCCTGGTGAGCAGCATCATATCGCAGCAAGTCTCCGGCGCAGCGGCCAAGTCTATCCAGAACAAATTCATTGCTCTCTTCTCCCCAGAGGGCGGCGATGCGCCATCTCAACCTGCCGATGGCGACTCTTCGTCCGAGAAAAGATTTCCAATCCCATCTGAAGTTGCGGCATGCTCCATCGAGCGATTGCGCACCGCCGGCCTCTCGCAGCGCAAAGCAGAGTACGTACAGGGCCTCGCCGAGAAGTTTGCTAGCGGGGAGATTACGGCTCAGATGCTCCACGATGCACCATATGAAGAGCTCATGGAGAAGCTCATCGCCGTGCGCGGGCTGGGCAAGTGGTCCGTCGAAATGTTTGCCTGCTTTGCCCTTAAGAGAATGGATGTCTTTTCCTTGGGGGACCTCGGTGTTCAGAGAGGCATGGCTGCCTTTGTCGGTCGAGATGTAGCCAAGCTCAAGAGCAAAGGGGGCAAGTGGAAATACATGTCGGAGCAGGACATGGTGGAACTGTCGGACAAGTTCACTCCCTATCGGAGTTTGTTTATGTGGTACATGTGGAAGGTGGAGGAGACTGATGTCAGTACTATGGAAAAATAGGCAATCAGTTTTACGTTGTGAGTCGCATCTGTATAGAGCAAGGTAAGTCAGATAATTTTTATGATCGAATAATAGCACCGGCTGGGTCTTTTATAGTATTAATAGTATCAAATCTTCAATACGACTCCAAAGACGGAATCGGCTAACCCGAATATTCTATTCTCGTCGCTTCGATCTACAAGGGGATGCGTCCTAATTTTTAGGTTCAGGATGGACTTGAACAGACTCAGGAGCAAATCTAGGTTCTCCGAGTGCATATTGCCTGTCTGCAGGTGCATGTTTTACGGTGACTCGTAAAATCTTATTCTAGGTCCGGAAACCAAGCTTGTTTAGACCTCGATGCGTGACGGCTCGGCGCGGATGACACGTGCAGCCGCCTTACATAAAGGGGACTACGGAGTAAATTCTGGGTTACATATCCGGGGACGGGCCGTTTTGATCTTACACGAGTCAAAATCGCTGGTGATAAGAGATTATATCAATAGTACGCTGCATGAGAGCATATATACGGCCGGAGGCCGGGCAACGAAGGCGAGGATGGGATCAATTGACGGGGCATCAAAGCAAAAATAGCGGCGGCGTTTAGTATTCTAATTAGACGGTTTCAAACTGAGCTGCAATACGGACCTAGATCATGGGGTTTGCGGAGTAGTTATTCGTATTCTTCCTGTCGTACAGAGTACGGACCATCCGCGTCGACCTCCTTTGTGTATACCCGCACTGCTCCGTTCGTACCTCGTGAGCTAGTACAGGTAAGACATTTCGTACCGAGGAAATGATTCCCGAATTGCTTCGTAAGAGCATCAGTATTTGGTTCTCCGCGTTGGGGTGATGAGATACATGCGTGTTGAAGGCACGAGTATGCTTGGCTAGCCGACTTCCTCTCATGTGAAAACGGATCTGCATGATTGGACTGCTATAGATAGGTAGATGCCACTTGGACCTGGGGTAGCTGCGAGGTATGACGTTTAGGTAGCTACCCTAAATCAGAAGTGTAACCTAAAACAATGGATGTCAATTGAAGCTTTTGGCTTTAACGTTCGGTAGCACAGTCACAGGTCGCCCAAGAGGGGTGTTTGCATCATAGTGCTTGCTTTTAGCTGCTGTCGTATCATGATGCACTCACTCTTAGGGAATACGGAGTACAATCTTAGTCGCTAATGACCAGGATAGGCAGTGTCCCACTTGATGGGAGGTCAACTGACGTCTAATAATACATCATCAACTTGCCTATCGAGAAGCTCATCGGACTTTTGATGCCCAAATTGACCAATGCAGTCGAGCTCCTCGCGTACTTTGCATGTTAGAGTTCTCGTATCGCATATGGCTGAGTTGGATCGGGTACTATTGGAGCGTCGGCAAAGAAGGTGTGGCACACCACATGCAACCATGCCACGAAGCCACAACGACTAAAGCCGCCGTGACGGGTCAATGCGTCAATGCATTACTTTGAGAATCGCGCTCGTCATCATCGGCATCATTGCCCGGCCGGCGTTGCCGTGGAGCCGGTGCTGCTGAAGAAAACAATCAGGCGGCAGATGAACCACGAAACGATGAAACACTTGAAGAAAGGAGTACATACTATTACAGCACCAGTAGTGCACTATGCTCGGAGCGGAGAATGCGCTCCGGGTAGATTATGGAGCACGAGGAAATAGTTGGTTGGAACTACCTAGTATAGCATGCAGCCTACCAAGGATTGATGCTGCTAGGCTGACGGGACTCCTTGCGTGACTCCTCGGTACTGTTTTGAAACTCTCGTACCGGCGCCCCGACTAATCTTGCCAGCCATCGACGAAGGGAACAGAAAAAAGGAGAGCGGGAAACTCTGCTTGTCCATGGCCGAAAATTCCGGCAGGCCTTGTTCCCCGCTGGCATTGCAGAGCTCTGCACAAAGTGGCTCCAGAAGGAAGCCGTGCCAGGGGCGCTAACAAATTCAATTGAGCATTTCCAGTTGAAGATCCCTGTTAGCCTGCACATGGTTGCTTTGGCGAAGTTGTCCCAGTTCTGCTAGCGGCGGTTTAACATTGGAGTGGCGCGCGCGATACGATCTGCGCTGGACGACGTCGCGGTGATGGGAATGATGGCATTGATGCATTCGCATGCAGCTGGCACTGTGTGAAATGGGGGCGATGCATCGAGAGTGGTGTGTGTTGATGTGAATGCGAATGCGAATGTGAATGTGGATGTGAATGCGCTACCGACGAGTACATGTACTCGGGCCCAAATTGCAAGTACATGGTCGGCCCACGGATTGTTCGATTACGGCCCTGCCAAGCGCGTCCCGAGGTGAGATTCTTATTGCCGTGGTACATGGACGCATGCGGGAACGCCGTACCTACATGAGTACCTTGTGTTACTGCCCGTAGCGGTAAGGGCCAGGCACGGGAGGCCGTTTCTGTGATATTACCTGCCCGACCGGTCTAGTTGACGAAGCTGCGCGCAGCGTTGGATACCCGACATGTACAGTACAGTGCTGTAGAGGTACGTAGGTGGGGAGCTGCTGCGAGTCAACGCTGCGAGTGCCCTGTAAATACGACGAGTACAAGCAGGTACAGGTACAGATACAGATACAGATACGGGTTCTGATATGATGCTTAAATACTTGCACTGTATGCCGGAGTCAAGGTCGGCCCCGTCAGAAGTTGGTGCGCTTCAAATCAGCTCCGTTAGTATGCAGCGCACGCGCACATGCGCTTGCGGCCAGCACAGTATTACAGCACAGGCCGTGTACGATTAGTATCGACTGCCATACGAGTACAGATACTGCTATACTCGTACACATGCTAGCTAATCTGTCTGCGTCAAATGCCCTCCCACCCCCTCCCATGTGCGCCACTGCCCATCTCTCCAATTCTGCCGCCAGCCGAGCATCATTGCCTTGTTTTCCCGCCCCATTGCAGCTTGTACGGGGACAAATTTCATTACAGCAGATTGATGGCAAATTATGGAGATGAGGCGGGTGGGGCGGCCTTCCCTTCCAGAGGCTGCCGTCCCACCCACACCCCCTAGAGCTCCATTCCCAGGGGACATTTGCGGCCTCTCTCCCCTGGCAGGCCCTGTATCCGGCCTCTGGTTGGTGCACGAGGAAGCTCTCGCGCAGCAGGGGGTGCCGCTTGGTTTCGTCCCAGGAACAGGTTCTTCTTCCCTTTTCTCTCCTTCTTCCTCGCTTTCTCTCTCTCGTTTACTGTTGCCGTCGTCTCGTCGTCGTCCTGCTTCAATTCCTGCCACTCGTTATCAGGCCAAGCAATTTGCGCTATAGCTTTTTATTCCATCCATTTTCTTCTTCCCTCATTCCAACTACAGTCTTCCAGGCCAACCAGTAGCCTTATTTTGACCACCATCTTTTGAGACATCTCTACCCCGTTGCCCAGGAACCCGTCCAGTTTTCGTGTCAGGAAAAAGATCGACTTCTGCTACAAGGTGTGTGAGTTCACTTCTCCTGGTTTCGCTTGTCCTGTGGCGTGCACGTTGCCTCGCTGCTGCTCCCTCCAACCTGCGTTTCACCTGTCGCTGGCACTGCCACTGGCACATTGCAAACTTTCCTCTGCTCTTCTCCTTCCAACGCACATTTTGCATTACCGATTCGGCTTCGATTTGCGCCTCAAACTTGCTACTGGTCCTCTGGTTGCGATTGCGCCCTACCTGTCTTCAACATTGCGCTCTCCCCTTCTTGGGCCTGGAATCGACATCTTTCCTTCCCGGACTCGCCTGTTGAAATACGAGTGGGAATATTTAGACGCCTGGGCCATTGTTCGAGCGATCGAGAACTCGATTCCGTCAACATCTTTTTGTCTCGCCTCGTGCCTTTTGGACCGGCTGCATAGTTTAAACGCCACAGTCAGATATCCCCTATTTGCGCCAGCACCAAGCATCGAATCGCGACACTGCCATCTTTACATCTCATTTTCATTATTTGACGCGTTTTGGTGCACGCTTGCTGACTTTTGTCCCTGTCCCCAGATCAGAATGCATTCCTCCAAGCTTTTCTCAGCCGTCCTGGCTGCTGGTGCCGCCAGCGTTGTCTCTGGTAAGCTCCTTCGCGCGCCATGTGATGTGACAACAAAATGCTAACTCGACTGTAGCTGCCTCCAATGCCTGCTCTAAGGACATCAAGGTTACCACGCCTAACCCCGTCATCTCATGCGAAGTTGTCGATGCCAACGTCATCGTCGACGAGTCTGTTGCTGGCGACCTGCTTCTCAATGGCCCTAAGCAGATCACGGGTGATCTCATCATCAACAATGCCACCCAGCTCATTTCCATTCAGAGTTCCACAATCACTTCCATTGGAGGCAACTTCGAGCTTGACAGCCTCGAGCTTCTGAGCACTGTTAACATGCAGGCGCTCAAGACCTTGAACAAGCTGAACATGGTCAAGCTTCCTCAGCTCAACACTTTGATCTTTGGCACTTCTGGTGTCACCAAGGCCAACGATATCCAGGTTACCGACACTTTCCTCAGTGATCTCAGCGGTCTCAACATCAACAGTGTTGACAGCCTTACCATCACCAACAACAACAAGCTGACCTCTTTCAACTCCGACCTGGTCAACATCACCACCCTTCTCAGCGTTACCAGCAACGGAAACAACATGGAGATCAACATGACCAAGCTTCAGACTGCTGCCGAGATCCAGCTCTCTAACGTCAAGAGCTTTGTCGTCCCTAGCCTGAAGACCATTACCCAGTCTCTCAAGTTCGATACCAACCCTCAGCTCGTCACTTTCAGCGCCAAGAACATCACCACCATCGGCGACAGTGTCACCTTCATCAACAACAACAAGCTTACCAACGTCTCATTCCCCCTGTTGACGTCTGTTGGTGACTTGACTATCCAGAACAACACTGCTTTGGGTGCCGTTGAGGGTTTCCCTAAGCTGCAGACCGTTTCTGGTGGTGTTATCCTCCGCGGTAACTTTGACAGGTGAGTTGCCATTACATCTCCCGTATCTATATTCTTTGTCACTAACTGTTACATTTTTCTATAGCGTTGAGCTTCCCAGCCTCAAGGATGTCAAGGGCGGTGTCACTGTCTTCTCTACCACCGACATTTCTGCTTTCTGCGGATTCTTCAACGATGCTAAGTCTAAGAAGATCATCCAGGGTCAGGAGTCCTGCAAGAGCAACGTTAAGACCGCCAATGAGGGAGGTAGCGACGGTGACTCCAGCACTTCCAGCGGCAAGGGCAGCAGCGGCAGCAGCGGTAACAACACTGACAATGCTGTCGCTGCCCTCAACGTCAACAACGTCCTTCTGGGCGTGTCTGTCATTGCTGGTATGGCCCAGCTGTGGTAAAAACTTTCTGAGGGATGATGGGTCGGAATTTGGCGTCAATCTCTGTTCTCCCAGATGTTTTTCTGTTTTCTTTTAGCCAACACATTGTGGTTTCGTCAACCTCCCCCACGCCTTGGCTGTCAACTCATATGTGACCGCCCCTTTTGTGTGTGTCCGCGGCACTAACGCTAGAACTTAATAATGGAAATGTACTTCAAAATGTCGCCACGCTCCTTTTATCCCTTCGGCGAGCATCGACATGATGCATGACGCACATGCTGTATGCCTGTGACAACCTGGCTATCACTGGCGAGCTCGAGCCTCGAAAGGATTTTACGTGTGTACGGTTACTGGTGATTATTCTATCACGATTTGCACCTCTCTTTAGACTTTCTTTATCGGTGTTGGTGTATGTTTAGACTTAGGGTACTTTTTATACCACTTTTTGCCTTTTGTTTTTATCAAATCAACTTTGCCTAATTATCAATATGTCTACCTTGCTCCATGCCTGTGAAAATGAAGTGTAATTGTTCGCAACAACTACCAAAATGAATACTTCTGTACTTGATATCGTGAAACCTTACGTTGTCGCATCTACGTAGACGCCCTGTTCAAATCTCTCTGTGTCGTAGAACTTTGGGATGATGGTGTTGCCATTAAAAACACGACCGTCCAATTCATTGACTGCCTATTGCCATCGGTTAGTCTGGGATTACTTGAGAGGTTGCTTGATCGCTCAAAGATATCTATGTGACTTACTCTCAAGGCAGACACTTGGTCTGTGAATTTGATAAAGACTTGGCGAGTGTCCACGTCGATGTACAGTCTTTCGACTCGCCCATACTAATGCGCCCGATATTAGCCATTGAATATCCTTCAAATATTAGCAAGTGTTGTTGCTTCTTTACCTTTTCACCGCACTCTCCACCGATTTCCTGGCCCAGGCCGTCGGCGATCTCGGCCTCGAGGTCGGGCATGTTCTCCAGCATGTTCTGGAGCACGACGACGTCGCTCATGATGCCGAACTTGCCCGTCTCCTCCTTGCGCTTGCCGCCGAGGATCTTGCCCTTGTTGGCGGGCTCAGCCCAGCCGCCGCCATCTGCATCAGCCTTTTTGCGTCGCTTTTCCACTTGGACGCGGAGCGGGTTGAGGATGCCCGATTCGTTGGCGCCGAGGGCGGAGCCCTTTGTCCAGCCGTACTTGGTCATGAGGCGTTGTGCGAAGCCAGCTTGGCCGGGGCGGTTGGCTCGTTGTTGTTGGGCGTCTTCGGGGGCGTCATCTTCTTCGGCGCGGCTGAAGCTGGGTGGTGGGGAGTAGCCTTCGTCTTCGTCGCCCTCGGGATTATTGGGTGGAGTCTGGGTATAGCGGACGGGAGCTTTGGAAATTGTAGAGGATTCTGTGGATGGCGGCGGCGGAGCATAAGAGGAGTCTTGATTCGTTTGGGGAGGAGGAGGCGGAGGGGGAGGTAATGATGATTCGGAAGGTTGAGGTGGAGGAGGAGGTTGTGCTGTTGAGAGGGCTAGACGACGGGCATAGGCGTCGTCTGCCGTCTCCTCTTGGGGTGGAGCGGCTGGAGGGGATCTTGGAGGCGGCGCAAAGGAATATGAAGCTGGCGGAGCAAACTGATCTGCAATACGAGTTAGTATTGCTTGATTGATTTCTCATAGCACTGGCATGAACTGGCTTACTTGAAGGTGCTGCCCGAGTTGCCTCCTCTTCCGAGTCTGATAGGTCGCTCTCTTCCTGGGTCTTTCGGTGCCGGTATAGCAACCCTTTCCACTCCCGTACCTCCTCTACCTTTTCGTCGCTTTTGAGAAACTCGTCCACGTTCGTCGGTCTCGTTGGATCGTACATCTCGTCCCAGTCTGTCTCGAACTGCTCCTGTCTCTTCTTCTTCTTTTTGCGACCGCCGCGTTGGCGCTTCTCCCCAATGCCGTACATCCACTCATCTTCTTCCGTCGCCGCCCAATCGGCAAGAGTGCTCTGATGTGGTATTGACTGCGCAGCTCCAGGAGCTGTTGCAGTGGTAGCTGAGGCTGTGGTGGGTGCAGTCCTGGGGATTGCTTTGGGGAACGTCGGCTTGGCTTTGGGCTGCTTTACTTGTGGGCGCCGTATGGGCTGAAATTGAAGCGCGGGATTGATGGGCTTCTTCGCTATTTGCTCATCAGCTGCAGCTCCGCCTTGCTTGTAGGTCACCGGCGCGGAGGAGATGGTGGCTGATGGAGAGGGATCGTTGGGATCGTGTAGATTGTCATAGAGCGAGAGTCCTCGCGGCGGAGGAGCCGCCATTTTCTCGTGATAGCAAAGGCTATTTTGTTATGATAATTTACTATGAGGCATGAGTTAGTTAGAATTGAATGGGGGAAAAAAGGAGAAAAATTAAGCTTCGAAACGCGATAAAACTTCGAGATATTCAGAAGAGCGACGTGCCATACATCATTACTTAGGTAGGTAGTGGTTAGTCCCCTTCTATCTCAGTAGTTCGCGAGCAACTGGTGGCTGAGAGCTATGGCGCGGTGCGGCAAAACATCGGCACGCCACTCAGTTGCTGCTTTGGTGGATAACTCAGCCTGAGCTGCAGATCACCCCTCCAACCAACCCCACCAAAATTTCCCCCATCCTTCTGCCCATATATCAGGTCACTCTATCTCTAACCATAGAATCCGGTGTGGCTTTGGGGAGTACGTCGAGACACGATATTTCCTTTTCTCTTCCTTTTCCTCCCTCACCATCTAACTCTCAACACTGGACAGTTGCAGGCAGACTGTCCTTCAGCACCCACCTGCCGTTGATCTGCGTATCTCTTTCCGCTACTCTCAATCGACGAATCCGATAGTCCGATAAACCAACATCTCCAAAATGTCTGACCTCGCGAGTCGCATTACGAAACCCGACGAAGCGGTTCCGGCAGAGAGCCAGCCAGAGGTTGATGCTCCCGCCGCTGAGGCACAGAATGATGGTGCCATTGAGGAGCTCGGTGGCTCTGGCCTGCAGGAGCCCGAGTGGGATGTCGAGGTCTCTCTCAGTGATCTTCAGGCCAACGAGGCAACACCCTTCCACTCTGCCACGCAATGGGAGGATATGGGACTGTAAGTATCATGATGCCTCTATCATTCATGGATTGTTGCTAATCGTGTTGCCAAAGTTCCGAGGACCTCCTAAAGGGCCTTTTGGCTCTCAAGTTTTTGAAGCCTTCGAAAGTTCAAGGAAAATCTCTTCCTCTGATGCTTAGCGACCCTCCGAGGAATATGATGGCACAGTCCCAATCAGGAACCGGAAAGACGGCGGCGTTTGTTACTGCCATTCTGTCGCGTGTCGATTTCAACCAACCTGAGCAGCCGCAGGCCCTTGCTTTGGCACCCAGTCGTGAGCTGGCTCGTCAGATTGAAGGTGTCATCGGTGCCATCGGTCGCTTTATCAAGCCTCTTAAAGTTGCTGCGGCAATTCCAGGTGCTCTGCCCCGTGATCAGCCAGTTCGATCCGCAGTCATTGTTGGAACACCCGGTACTGTCCAGGATATCATCCGACGAAGGCAGCTGGACGTCTCTAAACTCAAGGTTCTCGTCTTGGATGAGGCCGATAACATGTTGGACCAGCAAGGAATGGGTGACCAGTGCCTGAGAGTAAAGAAGTAAGACCGTTCTGGAACAAGATCAATTTGAAGCGAAGAAAAGAAAGATGGCTAACCTGCTGATATAGCCTGCTGCCCAAATCTATACAGATTCTTCTGTTCTCAGCTACTTTCCCCGACAAAGTTGGCGCATATGCGATGAAGTTCGCACCAAACGCCCACTCACTGAAACTTCAGCGCAACGAGCTTACGGTCAAGGGTATTTCACAAATGTTCATCGACTGCGCCGACGACAACATCAAGTACGACGTTCTTTGCAAGCTCTACGGTCTTATGACTATTGGACAGTCGGTTATCTTCGTCAAGGTATGTTGCCAACACATTTCGGATTCCAACCTCGACGAAGCTTTACTAACGTGCAAACAGACTCGTGAAAGTGCCAACGAGATTCAGAGACGCATGGTAGCGGATGGACACAAAGTTTCCGCTCTGCACGCCGCTTTTGATGGTAATGAAAGAGACGACCTGCTCGCCAAGTTCCGTAAAGGAGAGAACAAGGTTCTCATTACTACCAATGTCCTCGCCCGTGGTATTGACGTGTCGACCGTCTCCATGGTCATCAACTACGATATTCCGATGAAAGGCCGCGGCGATTCCGAGCCAGATGCTGAGACATACCTCCACCGTATTGGCCGAACTGGACGTTTCGGCCGTGTCGGTGTCAGTATCAGCTTCGTTTACGACAAGAAGAGCTTCGATGCGCTCAGCAGCATTGCCAACACCTATGGTATCGACCTGGTCCGTCTCGACACCGATGACTGGGACGAGGCTGAGGAGAGGGTCAAGGAGGTCATCAAGAAGAACCGAGCTCAGGCTGCTTACGCCCCAAGTGCAACGGACAACGTGGCCAAGGCATCCTAGAGAGTTGATTTTGACGCACGGATGACGATGTAAATTGGTGGCGATTCTCTTTGTTTTCTCTTTTCCTTTGCTTGATGAGAACGCCGCAATTTAGCACTTGATGATGGATGGTATGATAATGGGGTTTATACAACTGGATCTGTAGAGTGTGGCACGACAAGATACCAAAATTTGCAGAGTTGTGCCATTGCAGGACGGCTGAAAAGGCTGAAAATGATAAATATCCTGCTTCTTTCGTGGCGTTTATTCCATACTGTGCCCTCGTGTCTATCCAGCTACGTGACGATTGTAAGATGATTTGTCAAGTTTGTCTTTCTCACGCACTAACCTCCCATCTCGCTATTAATTACGACAACTGATGGAGGCAGTGGTCAAAATGTTCCATTCGATTTGCATAGTTTATGCAGCCGTAAGTGGGATGTGCATAATTATTTTTTGAAGTTGCATAAAGGAGGACTTGGATGTAGTGTTCCGTAATCCGTACGCCGTACGAGTACCTTAGTAGCATTTGGATGGGGTCTGTGGTTCATGGATCCGTCGTTGATTTTTCCGGCACATGACTCTACATGCGAATTCAGTAGTTTGACGGAGAGCTCGGTGGCGAAAATCCAGAGCCAGAAAGGAGCTCTTGTCCTAAATTTTACGACGTACTACTTGTTCCTGGTAGACGGTATACTTGAAACTTCAAGCGCCGTACGAGTAGCATCATCGTCTCCTCTCTCCCTTTGCCTGGCTTGCTTACAACGGATCGGAAGAGACTGGACACACCCGGTAATCGGAGGATATCTGGTGGTTGGAAAGCATTTGCTGCCTTGCCGGCCACCTCTTTTTCTACTCCCTCTCCGAAGTGACTCGCGCCATGCAGTGCTACAGCACTAAGGTCGACGCATGTACGACGGATGTATGTATGTAGAGAACTTACTCGTACGCGGGAAAACAAACACACGGCGCAGATACATGTGAAAGTATCAAGAGGGGGTTGATTGGAAGGCTGGTGCAGGCAGGGGTCTGGGCTTACAAGAGGGTTGGACATTCTGCATGTAATTAAGTGGTTGGTATGCAGACGGCGGAGCGGCAGATGTTACTCGTCCTCTGCAGCCGCGAAGCATTCTGTTAGAGGTGTAGTCAAGTAATAGATTAGTACCTACGGAGTACTCGTACTGGGTAAGCATACAAGGTAGGTCAGAGATGGCTGGTGATGGATGCTGTCACACATCAAGGCTCTCGTATCGCCGACGAAGCAGAGCTTGGGAGCTCTTTGTCCCGCAAACGAGCTAGCTACCCATCATCCCCACCATTATGTCACCGCGCTGCACCGCCAAGACAGTGAAGAAAGCAGGGAAAACCGCAGCAACAGGAAAAGAGAGGGAGCAAGAAGAAAACAGAAAAAAAATTTACGCGGTGAAGCATCTCACGTGTAGTTCCGAGGCTGCCTTGAGGATTGGCGCTCCCAAGTGCTTCCCCCCCACTCTTTTTTTCCCTCTTCCATTCAACTACCACCACACACCGCCTACTAGGGAGCACTAATTTTCACATTTTCCGTTATTAGCACGCCTTGCATGATAGCGCGCTTGTGCTTGAGACACGACAGCGAAACAAAGAGAGCACAAGACAAGAGGCCAAAGGTTCCTTTCCTAGCATGAAGCCGGTGGCAAAATTGTCTTGCTGCAATTCCTACAGCACACTGTGTGCTTGTACGACAGTCGGCTGATATTCTTCGCAGCACAGTTGCCGCACCCTGGCCAGAGCTTGAGAATTTTCTCCCACGGAACGGCCCCCTGTCAAGTGTCGGCTGTGGCTCCACGTTAGCCAAAAAGAACCAGCCTCTCCGAGACTGGCAGCGCATACGAGTAGTAGCTTGGGGGTGACTTAACGGTTAGTACGTGGTGCGAATTCCTTGTTATTCCATCTTGTTCGAGAAGTGAATGGGCCTTCTGCAAGTCATGCTCCTCAAGCAAGTCATTTACTGTCCTCGCCAACGAAATGAAAGAAACGATGATATGTTTCATCAATCAAGGAATCGCCCTCCCAGATAATTGACGCAATTGCCCAATGCCGATAGATCCCGGGGTTGAGCTGCATGAGAACGACCGCGGGGCATCAAGAGGCGAGCCACGTAGCACGCCTGGAGAGGGAAACCAGTCACAACATGCATATCTCCAGCCTTCGCGGACGCATCCTCAGGCGCTAGGTCCTGCACGGTGGGCGGTCTTTGATATCGCTCAGAACCTGGAGCCACTCGGCCCACTGCTAGCCAGCTCATCTGGCCGCTTTTCCTCATGATTGCTCTTTGCCTGCGGCTCTGATTTGCCCGCCGTGGCTCAATCCCACTTTTCGTTGGTTGATCATGCATGTTCCATTTTCGTTGCGTCGGGCAGCTATCCTGTCAGCCCGTGCGAATTCAAGTCATGTCTCAACCCGCAAATGCGGCCGGCTGGCGACAAGGCCACCTGCTGAGCCCAATCGTAGAGCGGCGTGGCGGGCGAAAATGACTTCCTTCTGCCAATTGGGCTCTCGCATGATTGCTATCCAGCCGTCGTGTGGGGATTGATCTCTGTTGCAAGGGGGGGCTCTGGACCGGAATTGTGCTCTCTTGGCCTGCTAGGCTCCGCATCGTCAATCCTCTCTGGTTCGCTTGTGGACGGCCATGGGTGTTTTTTTGACATGGGACGTGCTTTTTTGGATGGGCCCATGCAGCTCGAGGAAACAAGGCTCCAAGTGGTGTCATCTCAAAGCCTTTACTGACTTCCCACCTGTTCGCAGGTTTTAGAGAGGAAAAAAAAAAAATAACCTCCTGCATCGTACATAACAAACTTTCTGAATCCCGTCATCATCCGTACCCAATAGGCTGCTACATTCGCTTTGAAGCAGCCACAGACAGCCGTGTCCTGAAGCGCCAAGGCCCAAGAGACCGGCCGTTTACCTTATTGGCGCCTTCCACCTGCATCTGTCGGATAATCTGATTACAGTGCAGCTTGTATGGAGGTCGATAATAAAGCCGTGCCCCAACTCGCTCAGCCCGAAGAGTTTGCGGTCTCTGAGGTCGACAGGGCAAAGGAAGTATGAGCACCGCCCAAGAAGTCGAGTACTGTCCCGTCAGGACTAACATAGATTTGTCCAATGTACAGTTCTCAGATTTTTCCAATGTGCAGTATTTCGAAAAGAATGACTCCGAGGTCGGGTCCAAGGTGTCATTAGACAACAAAGGTAATTGGCGACAGCTATCCAGAGCGCATTTTCTCCAATCTCTTCCAATGCTAATTTTGCGACAGAGAATGATGCCCCTCAAGATTCGGCCACGGCCGAAGACCAGCCTGAAGAGGCCGAGGTAGATGGAGACGTTGTCGCAGAGCCAACTTCTTCCAAGAACAAGAAAAAGAAGAAGAAGAAGAAGAACAAGAGCGAAAGCCAGATCACGTCGCCTATAGAGTCCTCCGAAAGCTTCGCAGCTGAAGTCCAGGCTGAGGGGGAAACCGCCGAGCCAGCGGAGCAAGACACAACAGTTACCCCTCCCCCGGAGGAGTCAAGCCAGGTAGTCGAAGACGAGGCTAAGAAAGACAAGAAGAAGAAAAAGAAGAAGAAGAAGGCCAGCCCTAAGAATTCGGAGACAGATGTGGCCTCTGATGGCGCTCTTGACCCTGCCCAGCCCCCGTCGCCGCCGGCCACTGACGAGGGAAGAGGTGAGGATGAGGCTACACCAGCGGCAGAAGAGAAGACTGAGGCCGCTGCTGCGGAGCCTGAGACTGCTGTCGAATCCGCAAAGGAAGAGAACGCAGCTGAGCCCGAGCATTCAGACGAGGCTGTCCCTGTTTCCGAAGAAGTCAAGGCCGAAGCAGAACCCGAAGCTCACCACGAAGATGCCAAGGTAGCTGAGGAAGAGGCCAAGACCACTGAAGATGCAGTTGCAGAGCCCGAACATGCAGAGCCCAAGCCGGAAACCGCTAAAGAGCACGAGCATGAGCAGGAACACGAGCACGTTCCCCAGGAAACCGAGCCTGCAAAGGAGCCAGAGGAGGTTCCTGCTGTCCACGAGGATGTCCATGCTGAGGAGTCTCACGAGGCGGCGGAAGCACACGATGAGAAGCCAGCCGAGGAGCCTACTCACACAGAAGATACCCAGGCCCCAGTGGTGGCTGAAGAGCCCGCCGAGCACAAGGAGACCGAGACTTCAGAGCACAAGGATGATGTCGAGGTATCTGAGCCGGTTGAGGCCGAGAAAGCGGAGGAGAAGCACGTAGAGGCCCACGCTGAAGAGCACCCTTCGGAGGAGGAAAAGCATGTTGAGGAGGCGAACATCTCGGACGACAAGCCCGCCGAGGAGGTCGCGCCTGCTCACGAAGAGGAGAAGTACTCCGAAGAGGAGAAGCACTCTGAAGAGGCCAAACCTGTTGAGGAGGAGAAGCCTGCTGAAGAAAACCACCACTCAGAGGAGGTGAAGCCCGCCGAGGAGGTCGCACCTGCTCACGAGGAGAAGCACGTCGAAGAACAACACTCTGAGGTGCACTCTGAGGAGACGAAGCCCGTTGAGGAGGTGGCCCACGTCGAAGAGGAGAAGCCCTCCGAGGAGGTTACGCCTGCTGAGGAAGAAAAGCACTTTGAGGAGGAGAAGCCTTCCGTCGATGAGAAGACCGAGGTCGAAAACGACACCGCTGAAGTTGAGGCCAAGGAAGAGCCGGCTGCTGAGCCTGTCGTTGAGACCACCCCTGAGGAAACCTCCAAGGAAGCTGAAGAGCATGTCACCGAAGCAGCACACGAAGAGCATGCCAAGGAGACCGAAGAGCCTGCGGAAGCCGCAAAGGATATCTCTACGGAGGAGGTCACTGCTCCTGAGGAGGAGAAGGCACCAGAGACTGCGGAGCCCGAACACCACGAGGAAGAAAAGACTCCTGAGCCCCAGTCTGATGCCAAATCCGCTGTTGACGACGTCGTCGAGGTAGCAGCAACCACTGCCCAGGAGGAAACTCCTTTGACCGAAGAGAAGCACGATGACTCTGAGAAGCCCGAAGAGTCCGCCGCTGAACACGAGCATGTGGCTGCTGAGGTTGAGACCAAAGCCGAAGAAGTCGACAATGAAACTCCTAAGGAGGAGGAGGCCGTTGAGGAGGCTCCTAAGGATGTGGCCGAATCTCACGAGACTGTCCACAGCGAGGAGGCTAAGCCCGATTTGACTGAAGAGGCCAAGCCTGCTCACGAAGAGCACCATGACATCGAGACTAAGGAGGAGGCTGAGCCCGAGTCTGTGGTCGAGTCTGTGGTCGACTCCGTGGTCGAGGTCAAGGAGCCTGTCGAGACACATGCCGAGACAGAGGAAGCTTCTCACGAAGTGGCCCCTGTCGAGGAATCGGTAGTTTCTGAGGAACATGCTGTTCCTACTGAAGAAGTTACTGAGTCGGAAGTCTCCAAGGTCGAGTCCGAGGTTTCTCATGCCACTCATTCTGAGGTTGAGGCTCCTGCTGATGCTGCCGAGGTCAAGCCTGAGGTTGTCGAGACCGCATCTGAAGTAGCAGAGGAGAAGCCTGAGACCACTGAAAGCGAATCTACCCCTGAGGAGCACGTTACAGTGGCTGAGACTGAGAGCGATATTCAGAAGAATGTTTCCGAGCCTGAGCCTGTCACCGAATCCGAGGTCGCTGCTGAATCTGAGGCTGCTACCGAGTCTGAAGTTGCTGCTCACCCCGAGATTGTTGCTAAGTCTGAGGTCGCTACTGAGTCTGAAGTTGCCACCGAATCCGAGGTTGCTACTCACCCCGAGGTCGTTGCCGAGTCTGAGGTTGCTGCCGAATCCGAGGTTGCAGCTCACCCTGAGGTTGCTGCTGAGTCTGAAGTTGCTACTGAGTCCGAGGTCGCTAAGTCAGACGTTGTTGCCGAATCTGAGGTTGTTACCGAGTCTGAGGTCGCTAAGTCTGAGGCTGCTCACCCTGAGACCGTTGCCGAGTCTGAAGTTGCTACGGAATCTGAAGTTTCAGCTCACCCTGAGGTTGCTGCCAAGTCTGAGGTTGCCGCCGAGTCTGAGGTTGCCGCCGAGTCTGAAGTCGCCAAGCCTGAGGTCGTTGCCGAGTCTGAGGTAGCTACTGAATCTGAAGTTGCTGCCGAATCTGAGGTTGCCGCCGAGTCTGAGGTTGCCGCCGAGTCTGAAGTCGCCAAGCCTGAGGTCGTTGCCGAGTCTGAAGTTGCTACGGAATCTGAAGTTTCAGCTCACCCTGAGGTTGCTACTGAGTCTGAGGTTGCTGCCAAGTCTGAGGTTGCCGCCGAGTCTGAGGTTGCCGCCGAGTCTGAAGTCGCCAAGCCTGAGATTGTTGCTGAGTCTGAAGTGGCCACCGAATCTGAGATCTCCAAGTCTGAGGTCGATGCGGAGCACAAGCCGGCTGAGTCTCTTGCCCCTGAACCTATCAATGAGGAAGTGAAGCACGTGGATGAGGTAGTCGAAGTCATTGCCCCAGCTGAGGTTGAGAAGACTGCTGATGCCGAGGTCGTCCACGAGGCTGAAAGCGAGGAGACATCGGAAATTCAGGCCACCTCTGAGCTGACTGAAGACTCCAAGGCTCCTCATGATGAAGAGCTCACGAAGGAGGTCCCTAAGGAGGTGGAGGCTATCGAAGCACCCGTTGCTGTGCCAGCTGAAGCTGAGGAACACTCTCCGGCCCCCGTTGAAGAGGTGCCCGCTGAAGTCGCCACCGTAATTCCAGAAGTTGAAACCGAACCCACGCCTGTTGCGGTAGAAAGCGAAAAGGCTATTGTGCCAGAGCCAGTGGAGGAAGTCGTGCAGCCTGTAGCTGCTGAGGTGGAGGTACCCAAGAGCGTTGAGGCAGAGGAAAGCAAGGACACTGTGGGTCCTATTTCGGTTGAGAAGAACGTAGTAGAGAAAGTCAGGAAAGGTGAGGAGCAGCATTCATTACATGATACCCCTGTTGATATTTCGGGACGGTTTGGTGACTCCACATCGGGTGAGGAGTCGAAGGACCACGGCGTTTTGGCGTTGCAATCGGAAGACATTTCGGAGATTCAGAGTCGGTCCTTGGGAGAGGAGGAGAAAGAAGATGTCAAGAAAGACGATCTTGAAAAGGCTGAGACACCAGCAGTCGAGGAGCCTGCTGTTTCTACCAAACCTGATGTGGAGGCCGTCTCTGAGCCGCTGCCTTCTCACGAAAAGGAAGATGATGAGAAGACTTTGGCGCAAACTCTGCCAGAGGAGTCAGACAAGGTTGCTCTCATTGCTGGAGCTGCTGCGGTTGCTACAGCCGCCACAGCTGCTGTGGCGACTGCCGCTGTCATTCACCAAGAGTCTGACGATTCGAAGCGTGATATCTCGGCTGCAACTGAAGAAGGTGGGCTAAAGGGAACCGCTCCGGAGCCCGTTGCTCCCGTAGCGCCCGAACCCGAGGTGACTAAACGTGATGTGGAAGACAAAACCCCTAAACAAGAAGAAACAGAAAGAGAGATTGTCCCCCCCGCGGAGGTTACGAAGCCCGTCGAGGAGCCTGTTGCAGCCCGAGAAGCTGAGCCGACAGTTGTTGCCGAGACAGCTGAGACTTCAACGTCCAAGGCTCCAGTTGCGCCAACTTCCCAGGAAACTCCATCACAGCAACCACCCAGCGCAGAGGCAACAACCCCTAAGACAGTGACAGCAATAGAACTCGAACAGGCAAGTAAAGAGATCACGAAAAGGGCGAAGCCTATTAAAGAGAACACAAACTTACACGATGTAGCCCAAGTCGACTCTTCTGGAGGCACTGGCAGCCTGGCTAATGGCACCGTTCGCGTGGCTGACCCATCTCTTTGGGTCCGGAAAGAAGAAGGCGGACGCTTAAACGCATTCACCATGCCCGGATTGAGCCGTAGCATCGACAGGGAAGTGCTCGATGGACCTCGGTTTGCTGCAAAAGGTGGAGTGGTCGCTCAATCCGACAATGGATTCCAGGCAGGGGTTATGATGAGGAGAGAGATGATGCCATTCCGTGGATTGGATCGAAATACGGTCCCTTTAGAAGTCGCTGCCGCAACAAGCCATTATGTGCCCCCTTTACGATACCCTGCTCTTAACGCCGACGGTCACTGCTCCCCGAGGTGGACGAACATGGCCTCCCCAGGCCCCTTGGTCTCTCCCTTTGAATATGAAGAAATGGTTCAAGATACTCCGCCTCCGCTGTCTCTTTCCGTGTTATTGGATGATGAGTTCAGAGTGCCGACTCCCGCCGTTGTGGTTCCTGAAAGGGCGACGACTGACAGGCTGATGACTCGACTGCTGCGTCACAAGCAGAAGATTCCACTTCACGATGCTGATGACGCAGTCGCAGCTGCCGTGGTTACTGACACCATTGCAGAGGCACCCCGGCCTGTCGCCCGTCTTTCGCTCACCGGCCTCCGCAACGGCGGGGACCTCCCTCATCTGGATCATCAGATGAAGTTGGATTCGGAGGAACTTCAGTCTCTAGCCGTCCCTACTACACGCAGGAGTATTAGTGATGATGAGGAGGATCTTCGTAAATCCATTGCTGACATTTTCACAGAGGATAGATCTAGGGAGCATATTTCGTCGAGCAGTGACCGGGAACGACACCGCAAATATCGTCATTCTCACCATTCTTCCCGTTCCAGCAGGGACCGTGGCGAGGAAGAGGGCAGAGAACTTTACAGAGAGTATAGAGAAAACAGAGAGAGCAAACGTCGCTCGCACGAATCCCAAGGGTCAAACTACCGCCGCTCTATTCCTGACACTGGTGGCTCTCGGCCCGGATCTGGGTCGTCTAAGCTGGACACACCACCACGAACTCCTCGGCGGCGCCATAGCGGCGTTGCAGGCGAAGCCCCTGGGCCCTCCGGCCGGAGATACAGAACTCCAGAAGAGCAGGAAGCCCATGAGCAGCGCAGAGCGCAACGTCGCGCTGCCCGGGAGGCGGAGCGGTTCGACAAGCACGAAGTACCAGAGCCGGTCAACGAAGGGTACGACGGATACGAGCGGTATGAGCAGCCTCAGCGATACGATGAGCGTCGCGAGAGACGTGAACACAACGATTATCGAGAACAACGCGATCATCGTGAACGCATTGAACGCTCTGACCGCCGTGACCGCCATGAACGCCCTGAACGCACTCAGCGCCCTGAGCGTTTTGAGCAACCCGAGCGGTTCGAACAACCTGAACCGCTCAACGACCGTGATGTACTGGACGAAGGCTACGGCCGACCTGAAAAGTATGAACGTCGTGACCGACATGATCGTCGCGAGCGCCGCGAACGTCGTGAGCGTCGTGAGCTCTATGAAAAAACCCTGGAGCCTGAGCCTGAGCCTGAGCCATTTCCGGCTGTTGACGAAAGCCGGGATCCCGCACCACCACCAGCCCCTATCCCAGCTCCCCCGGAGCGTAAGGGTAAGGAGGTGGGCTTCGACTTGCCGCCAGAAGAGATCAAGCGCCATCGTAGTCGCTCGTTTCGTCAACGTTCAGGCAACTCAGGCTATGACTACCCACGGCAGTCATCTCCCGAAAAGAGGTTTTTCGAAATGAAAAATGCCGAGGGGGTGCTTCGCAAATCATCCTCGCCGCCACCTCAAGATAAATTCATCTACGTGCCAGCACGGGATTCTTCTCTTCCCGAGGAGATGAGGCCAAGAACACGAGACCGGGACGTTCTCCGGACCCGTGATCGTCGGCTGTCCGAGGGCACCTACGACCGACCTCGTGGGGGCCATTTCGGAGACTCTCCTAGGCAATCGGCGCCGCTTGACGAGGGCGACGATGCTGCTCGGCGAGCCCGCCATGAGCGTAGGCGGATGAGGGAGGCTAGGGAGCAGGAGAAGAAGTCGGGAGGAATCAGGGGGGTATTCAAGAGACTGTTTAATTGACTGGTAGAGAATTGGGACACATGGCAAATATGGCAGCGATGGAAAAGGAGCGCTCTTTTATTCAAACGACTTAATGAATCATGCGTGTATGGCTCATCTATTCTTCTTCATAATTACTTCCTGGCCATTAGGCTGGTTTATGTTAGTTCGGTTCGTTTACGGTTAAATGAAATATTTTGACACTGAGACTTCAATATGAATGGCTACGAGATCTGTGCGTCAACTAGTATTACTACATGCGAAATTAACTAGTATATGATAAACATCACAGCAATTAACACCATCTATGCAGCTCATGGTTTCGGTAGGGAGGCTGACATTCGAGGCTGTTGGACGTCGGCGATGTCACATGACTTGGGAGCTCCAAGCATGAGCTGCGGCAGAGTTGCCTTTGTTCGGAGCCTCGGCGCTAGTTGATCCGGCCCAGCCCTAATTCGGCAGCGCATTTTCGCGAAAGCCCACCGAGATTGGGCTAAAAAATTCACAAGGGAAAAAAAAAAAGAGCGCTTCTAACATCACTCCACACCCCCGAACAAATACCAAAGGCGCAGGATTTGACCTCTTTGCGTTCTTCACGTCCACTCAACACCACCAGTATCAACAATGGCTCCTATCACAGTATGTACCACGTGAAATGGCATTTTTACTTCGCTTTGCTGTAGGCAGACAATTGCCCTCTTCTCGGTGAAAGAGAGGGGGCTATTGCGCTGCCGACGAAAAAACAAAAAATGCAGTAGGCTGATATGAAAATGTCATGATATAGAAGAAGGCGGGCAAGGCCCAGAAGCAGACCAAGAAGGTGAGTTAACTAAAAACATAACTCCATTCCCAGAAGCTCAAGAGAGGAGGGGGGAGTGCTAACATGGAACTTTGTAGTTCATCATCAACGCTTCGCAGCCTGCTAGCGACAAGATCTTCGACGTCTCTGCCTTTGAGAAGTTCCTCCAGGACCACATCAAGGTTGACGGCCGCACCAACAACCTGGGCGATAACGTCGTCATCCAGCAGTCTGGTGATGGCAAGATCGAGGTCATTGCCCACAACGAGCTCTCTGGCCGCTACCTCAAGTACCTGTACGACATTCTCCCAACCTTCACCCCCATTTTCTTATTATGCGGTATGCTAAACGTTTGTCAACAGGACCAAGAAGTTCCTCAAGAAGCAGCAGCTCCGTGACTGGCTCCGTGTCGTCTCCACCTCCCGTGGTGTCTACGAGCTCAAGTTCTTCAACGTCGTCAACGATGACGCCGATGAGGATGAGGAGTAAAGCGGCTTGACAAAGCTTTGAACAAAAAAAGGAGCCATATGGGAAATGAAGAATGGTTGTGGGAATGAAATAGCAACTTGCAGCAACCTGGACATCATCTTTCTGATGGAGGATATATAACCACGTGCGGCTTTTGAAAGGCCGTCGTCAGCGTGCTGGGGATCTCTGAAAAGGAGAAACCCCTTGGTTTGGGTTGCTCGAGTCTAGTCAATGAAGAAAAGAAGCAGCCATTTTGAGTGGACCTACTTACATTAACACTTCGCCCCTGTGCCTTTTATGACTTTCATGTGATTGCCAATGTAGTCTGTTATAACAGCTAAATGATTTGTAGTCGACGTAGTCAATTTATGATGCGCTATCAGATTGCCATGTCTACGTAATGTGTGCGTATGTATATGCTTCCAGCAACTGCTTGTTCCATGCAGCAACAAGGTATCATCAGTAACAAAAAAAGAAAAGAAAAGCATCTCCCCCCTTTTATGGCAACGTCCTCATGACGCCCTCAAAAGCCACCAAGGCCATGGCATTCGCCGGGAAAGCCCTCAAGAAGCACGGCAAGAATCCCCTCCAGTATCCCCTCCACCCAGACTCTCTATAAACCGCCACAGCAGCGTCCCTCCACCTAGGGAAGCGTCTCTTGCCGTCTCCCAGACCTCCGCCAAGAGGATCCGTCATAATGCGCTGCTTGACAAGATCGCTCGGGTAGCTCGTCAGCCAAAACACCTGCGCGCTCAGCCCGCCGGCCCAGAAGTTGATGGCCGGGTTGCTCAGGCTGGTGTTTTTGCGCAGAGCCCGCGACAGCATGTCGTAGCTGCCCCACCAGAAGAAGAAGAAGCCGCGGAAGAGCAGCGTGGCGCACAGGCCGTGGTAGATGCCGCGGATGCCGTGATGGGCGTGGATCTTGCGGATGCAGTCCAGGGGCCCCGAGTACAGGCGCTCGGTCTTGCGGGCGGCGTACTGGATCTGCAGCCGGGCCTTGATGTGCTCGACGGGGGCGGCGATGAAGCTGACGGTGGCGCCGGCCATGATGCCCGCGATGCCGTGGCCCAGCGGCGGCAGATACGAGGGCTCAGACGACGACGATGTCCTTGAAGATGAAGACGACAGCCTCATCAGACTGCCGAACCCAAGCCCAGAAACCCCCGATCCGGCCCCGGGCGTCCACGAGTCCACGCCAAAGACGTGCTGCGCCATCAGCCGCCTGTAGACGTTGAGCGAGCCCAGCATGACCGAGTCCATAAACATCCACCCGACCAGCGGCGGCGTCGCGCCCTTGTACAGGCCCGTGACGCCCTCATTGCGCACCGTCTGCAGGACGCACTGCAGCGGGCCGCTGAAGCGCGAGGCCTGCGTTGTCTGGAGGCGGACCTTGACTGTGTCGAAGGGGTGGCCGACTTTTATTTAATATCAATCGTTAGTTTGAGAAACAAAAATATGACAATTGATGAGATGAGAACAGGAATATTCATACCGGTCAGCTTTGCGATTCCGCTAAAGACGCCTGCGACGAAGCCTTTGTAGTCGCGCTTGGCCGATGTCGCAGGCTTCTTCTGGTTTTGCTGCACGACGACGGCCTCGGCGACGGGCGAGGAAGACGCCGTAGCTTCTGCCATTACTGCAGACAGCAGCCCTTAATTAAAGGCTACTAAAAGAAAGTCTTCATAAACTCAAAACAATGCGAGAGAAAATGAATGGTGAAGGGGTGGAGAAGAAAGATGAAGGAGATCTTCTATAAAGAGAGGTTGTAGGTGGTGGAGTTGTGGATGAGTCCGGATCTCGCAGGTATTATTAAGACGAAAAAGTCCGGCTCTTTGGTGTCAAGTGCCGAAAAGACCACTTCAACCACACAATCTTGAGGAACAAATATTTCGATAAGTCTTCAATTCACTTTCAAAACAAACAGAGAAAAATAATAGAAGAAAAGGAAAAAAATCAAGAAATGATCTCTGCAGACAAAGACAAAAGATAAGATGAAAAATAACGAATCAAGCTAGGTGAATCATCCCGTGGGGGAGGTGGGGAAAATCTCTGGTAAGCCTGTCATACACGATCCCGACGAGATAGTCAGTCCAGTCATGCTTCCGGCTGCTGCAGCTTTAGCGGGCTGCGGACTTGACGTAAGGCGTGTGAGACGGGACAGTAAGACAGAGAACGGAAGACGGTCAACAAGTCGCATTAATTAGCCTCGAAATAAAGACGAGAGTAGAATTGAGGAGAGGAAGAATAATGCAGCATCTAATACTACTCCCTACTCCATGCACCGCGACAGACTCAGACAAGCTGAGACATGATGCCCTCAAAGTCTCACAACGTGTCGCATTTTGTACCGAGCACCACAAAATTCACACATACACACACCTCATCATCAGTTAGGTCAAGCATAGAAATCCCTCCATGCCAATTGTGCTTCATTTATGCCACCAAACAACGCACTAAACTACGCCCAGCTACTCGCCCATCACACCCTCGGCCAAGCAGCTCCCTTCGTCTCATCATCTGTATCTTCAATGCCACCGATGCATCGTCCAGATCAAGACCAGCGCAGAATAATGCCTTTCGCTCCGCTCTAGAATCAAATGTTCATGTCATGTCGTCGTCAAGAGTGAAGAATCAGAAATACAAAATCAGGGGGTCTCGGGGGGATAAACGCAAAAACAAACGGAGCTGGCCAAGACAGCTCATCGCAGATATAGTCTCGCAAAGCAAACAAAGTCCTTCAAAATCCATTGCGACCTTCGTGTCCCATATATCCTTCCTATCACCGAAGCGATTCCATAGCATTATGTAGTACTCTCCACAAGTTGCCTTGCATGTCTAGCCCTCTCCAGCCTCTCCTTGCTTTGCCACCCGCAGTAGCGTGTTGTGAGTGGTGAGTTGTCTTTGGGCTAGGCAAGGTAAACTTATCCCTTTGTTCACTCCCTCCCCCCTTTGCGTTTTTTTTTTCGATTCATTTTCTATCTGTTTCTCGTCCTTTTCGGGTAAAAAAGAAGAAATCATTTTTACGGGTATTGTGTAGTGTGGCCCATGCATAAAACAACGGCGTGCAAAACAAAGAAAAAAAGACGAAGGGAAAAAAAAAATAAATGCTCATCCCCCTTTTCTTTCATCTGTATCATAGAGTCGTGTAGCAACAGGTCGAGGTCCAAAGCAACGGCATGATTTCGCCTAAAACGTATCCGTTTCTTGGCTTGCCTGGCTTGCCATGCTGCCAAACGTGTCTACAAATCAAACAAGTTAGCAAGCTAAAAAGTAATTGGTGCCATGGTTTCATCGCAACCTACCTCTCTTTCTTCGCCTGTCCTCTCTGGCTGCCTCATCATCCAGATTCTTGGGTGTCATTGCCCTGGGACCACTAGGCCTGCGCGACGGCACGCCAAGGGCAGCGTTCAAGTTCTTGTTCTCCGGCTTGGGGCTCATGCTATTGTACTGGCTGGAATGTGTGCCAGTGCCGCTTGCATAGCCGCTTTCGTAGCTCTGGGGGGCCATTGGGCTGCCCTTCTGCAGCGTTGAAACTCGCGTGGATCTCGGCGGCGTTTGCTGAGATGAGTTCAGGGGCTCCTTGGGTGGCCGAGCCGGACCGGTGTTTTGTTGCTGAGGAGGAGGAGCAGCCGGCCAGTAATCTCCACCCTCATTGCCGTACCGCCCATTAGCGGTGCCATTGAGGCGGTTAAGGCTGTTTACGGAGCCTGCCCAGTCAGCGGACCTGGGCGTCGCTGGGGCATCAAAGTCTTGAGCAGAGTGCTCCAGAGCGGTTCGGAATCTCTCCGTCTGTCCCGTTCTCGGCTGGGGGTGCATCAAGTTGAGAGAGTTGCGGTGAGCCTTGTACTTTGGATCCTCTGGCGTCGCAAAAGTCGGCACAATGGGTGCTGACGATTCGTGAATCTCGTGCGGCGGAGCAAGGCGTCCTCCCTCTAGATATCCTGAGTGGAGTCTGTCGTCGCCATACGTGTCGAGAGGATAGAGGTCATCGCGTGAAGCCATGCTAGACCCCGATCGAGACTGTAGCACGTCGTCGTTCTTGGCATCCTTCTTGGGATTTCCGCGCAGCGCCTTGCTCACGGTAGATGCCGTCGTTCCAGACCAGCGAGAGATCTTGGGGAACCAGCTTGTGCTTCCCGACTTGCCTTTCCTTCCCTTGTCGCTACGAGGCGTGTTGTCAGCGCTGTGCGGCTGGTCGTAGCTCTGGTCAGACACCTGCTGCACACCCTCTGGCGGGAGCGATCCGCCACGATGCACCTCACGGTCCATGGGGCTCATCGGAGGGATGATTTGGGTGCGCTCTGCCGTTGGAGTAGGGTGATCATACTCGTACTCATCCTCATGTTCGGGTACTGTGTCGATGCGATGATCCGAGAACTTGCGCTGGCCCTGAGACTGGCTGCCATGGCTCGTGGTTGAGTTGCCCTCGGGCTCATAGCCCTTGTCGTGCTCATACTGCCCCTCTGGCTGGAGATTGTCAAATGATTGTCCTGCTCCGCTGGTAGAGACCCTGGCGGAGATGGGGGGCGCCGTCTGCGTCTTGAGAACGTCCACTTCTCCGAGGAGCTGCATCAGCATATCCTCGATGCGAGTGAGATCACTGGTGCCCTTGGCGCTAAGGCCTTGGAGGGCCCGTTTCCACAGGGCCTTCTTCTTCACCGTGACATCGTCCATAGTGGTGCCACCAATGGAGCCGCTTTGCACAGAACGAGGCCCGGGATAAGGTCGTGGCCCGTTGATGGCCTTCTGAAGCTTGTCAGTGTTTTCGGAATTGGCAAAGATGACATCGTCTCCAGTGTCCTGAACCAGCTCCTTCAGATCGCGGAACGAGTTGCGCATCTCAATCGCAGCGTTCATGAGCAGTGCGACAATCTCCGTGTCGCGGGCACTTCGCTGTGCATCACGGACCATAAGCTAGGGGGAAACGGTTAGCAATGAACTGTGTACAGAATATTCGGGTTGTTTTCATGTCAACTTACGTGCTGCATCAAGGCAACAATGTCCTTGTTTTCGATACGCTCGATGCCGCCACCGGTGGAGGCATCATAGAATGGCGAAGCCATACCTTGGGACATGCCGCTGAGAGCGCGGTTGTTATCCTGTGACCCGTAGAAAGGATCTCCGCCAGCCATGTAATTTGATGGACCAGCCATTTGGATTGCCTTGCCCTTGGGTTCGACATCTGGTGTTCGGTTGGGTCCGTTGGACATGTATCCCTCATCATACTTGAAACCGGGGCTGCCAGTACTAAAACCGAGGCCGCGAGAGCCAAGGAGA